GGATTGGACATTCCTTTCGCAAAACCAAGTATCGAATGAACGTGTCCAATTACGAATTCCGACACACCAACAGCAAGCAATGAGCACTCTCTGGAAGAGGACAATGACGATGACGACGACATGTGCCTGCAGCAACAGAACCCGTCAAAGAAATAGAAGATGTCGACATTGAAGAGAGAGGAGGGGGAAGCGCCCGATCTAAATTGGCGGCATTCTTGGACTCATGAGTAGCACAACAACCCTGCCCAAAGCCATTGGCGCCAATGAGGAACACGAGGAGCAGGAATTGGCTCATTTACTGGAGGAACACACGTACACCAAACCAACCAATTGTGACATCTGTAAGGGCCTGTTAGTTGGCCTCTGGTCCCAAGGACTCCAATGCAAGCTGTGTGGGCTCAATGTGCACCGTGGTGAGGGAGTGGGAGGTCATGATGATTGCCGTGCGGAGGCTCTCTTCAAGGGATGTCCAGGCTGCCACAATGATGTATGTGTCCCAACTACCAAGGAGCCTGTACGAGTGCGAGATGTCATTGAACAAATGCGGCAAATGGCCAACGAAAAACCCAACTTTTTCCGGGAAATCAGAGATCAAATGGACAAGGACATCAATTCCCAAATCAAAGGCATGATAGTGTCCGCATCAGCAGAGGAACACAAGACCAAAAGCTTGCTGCGAGCACGAAATTCCATTGTTCCCTTCATTCAGAAGGTGGACAGCGTGGAATCTTATGGAATCTGGTTTGCCTATTCTCTTCTATGCTTGGGGCATTTGGCCATTGGCGCATTGGTTGCTTGCATTGCCTGGATTGGCTTTGTACTTGTACTCTTTCCGAGGCATGGCTTGTTCACTGTGTCCTCGTTCAAGTTGGCACATGTCCACAACATGACAGTCCTTTACTCCTTCCATTGCTCTCTGGTCATTATCGTGCTTTTGCTACGACGTCTCATCAGTCTGATGAATCGCAAATGCAACCTTTTGGATCAATTCTTGCGTGAAGTCTTCAAGCTGGAAGCCGAGGTAGATCTTGGTGTATCTGTCAACGGCGTTGCCAAACGAGCTCAGCTATGGATCCGCCGCATTACGGTGTCAAGTTCTGTGACGTGCATTGCAGCAATGCTGCTCTGGCAGGCATCCCAGCCTTCTTCCTCGTCCTTCCAGCCATCATCCTCTGTCTAGCTAGCTAGCTAGCGAAGTGAGTAATTGGTTCACCATTTTTGTGGTTTTGTTCACCATTGAGGTTGTCCTTTGGTTTTGTGGAAAGAGTTCCAAGGTATTGTGCAAAATTAGGAAATAGAGGCTATTAATTAATATTAGATGCAAAGCTTATGCAGTTACTTCCTTGGTTTGATGCAGATACCTACAGGGCATCCTGACCAACTTCGGATTTCCTGCTTCTTCATGAGCGAAAACTCGTTTGACTAGTCTACTGCCGGTACGGTGTTGATCTTGCAAATATCATGCTGGCAGGGTCCCTTCCAATCACTGATGAGCTGCGCCAAAAGCTCACAGATCTGAAGAGGCCCAACCTTGGAGCAACAACTTCTCTGGCAACATTCCTTCTGCGGGGAAAACTTCTGTGCAAATGTTGGAGCAGGATACGGGTCCTGCAGAGTCGAGTCGAGTCGAGTCTAGCTAGCTCTGGTTTTGAGGCCACACAAACGGACCTGGCATTGTGCGAGAGTCGGGTTTGCCGAGTGACACCAACAGCTCCATGAGGTTATCCCGTGGCGATTTGATTGCTGCGATCTTGCATCTAACACGAGAAGTGTCATTATCGTAACGACGAAAGAGAGAACTACTGTAGCTACTCCCCAGAACAAAGCATTCCTGCTTCAAATAGTCGGTTTCTATGGCTCTTTATGGACATTAGAAATGCTTTCCAATTTTAGTACCAATGATCAAGCCAAAATTAAAGTTCATGATTGATTGATTGATTGATTGGATTGTCGTGCCTTTTCTATTCGGGTTTCTCTTGTATGGCATCCACATACATGTCGACCAGCAGATCCACGAGGAGCTTGAACATTTTGGGATCGTTGCCCTTGTCTTTGTCCAATGCAATGCCCAACAGAATCACGGGTGGCTTATTATTGATTGCAATATTATTAATTCCCCGCAATCGCTCGTGCAGTGTCCGTGCATACACTCCCCCCATGGAATCATCCGACCGGCTCCCCAGAAGTGTCGACAAGTGATACTCGGTTTGTCGCAGATTGGCTTCCGTTGTGACGGCCTCGCACAGCAGATACGTCCCAATCTTGCCATCCAATTGACTCACCCCAAAGACAATTCGATCCGAAAATAGTTGGACCCAGGCATCGGTAGGAACCGACAATACCAGAAACGATCGAGTCAATAATTTGGGAATCGATTCGGGGAGTGGATGGACCTGATCTGGATCTGCCGAAGTAGCATGGTCAGGTTGGTCGGTGGTAGCTGACATTGTCGCGTCGATATGTATAATTAATTCAAATAAAGAAGTCCAATCTTCAAGCTAACAATGGTGCCTCCGGATCCTCGCAGACTTGGTAGTCTCTTTGGTCTCTCTAGTCTAGCTAGCTAGAATGACAGAGCTCAACAACAAAACACAATGAGATGGAAGGAGGCGGATGCACGACGAAGTGTGCCGATCAAGGACCTGCTACCAGCCAGAAGACTGGTTCCATTGCTCAAGACAGGTTCCATCCTCCATCCTGGGTGGTCCCTGGAATACCAGCAGACTCGGATCAATTGACGCAAACGCAAGCCGGCTACCGGTACGACGTTCGCAATCCGAACTCATGCTTCCGTTTAAAGATTTAAGGGACATATATCCTTAACCTTAATCTCAACTGACATCACTCGGATCGATCCAAGCCACTCGTACACCTCTTCTTCTTTTATTATTTCGATCGATACCTCTATCTTTCCTCTATCAAGATGATGCTTCCTCCTCTTTACAGCGGCTACTCCTCTTAACAAAGGCTACTACTCACCACCATGACAGGCTCCTCTTGGTTGGTTGGTAGCGGCAGCAGCAGCCGTTCGATCGTTCGACGGATCGCTCGACATGGATCGATGATCGATGACTTCTTTCTTCTTTCACGGAGCCACCATGATGCCTCCTCTTCCACGGAACGACGACGCCTCTACCGCTAATGAAACAACAAGCGACTACTACTGGAACGACAAGCGGCTACGGTTAATGCAACAACAAGCGACAATGGCGCTTGAAGGACTTCCGTTCGACGGATCGATGACTTATGACTGGCTCTTCCACTGGCTCTTCCACGGAACCTCTTCACGGAGCCAACGAACGAACGAACGGCGCGACGCAGGAACAACAAGAAGACTGCCATATTGACTGGCTACTACTATGTATTATCTATTCTTCTCCTCCTTCTTCATCCCAACCAAAGAAAGGAGTGTTATCTTCAGTGTCACCAGACTCCACATCCACAACTTCTCCATCTTCCACAACAAACCTTTTGGCCAGACAGATCTCCAACTCATTTTCAATGGAGCCCAAGCCGGTGTCCAAGTTGGATCTATGGGCAGCCTTACTCTTGAGAATGGAAGACATGTCTACTACATCCTTTCTAGATATCTCCAAGCGCTCCTCAACTGTCAGTTGTTGCTTCTGCAACTCTGATTTCCTGATCCGATCAAAGCCAAAGATATAGGCTTCCTTGATGTCCATATCTGCTGTTGTCTTGAAGTTGCGGCGAGTGATACTGGGACCATCTGTTTTCTTTCGACGCTTGCGCTTGGTAATCTTCAAGCTGTGTTCTTCGATCTGCGCTGCGGTGGGCTTGTAATACTCCTTGGCGAATTTGTCAAGCTGATCCTTGAAGGACATTGTGCTTCCTTCTTCCGGCACATGCATGACTTCGTTGTTGATTGACTGGTATCCAAGCATGTACTTCCTGCACTTGCGGCGGAAGCGCATGGTTCTTGCGGCATCATTCATTCGGAGAGCCTCATTGGCAACTGCGATGAAACTCTTGAAGTTGATCCGACGGTCCATTGGCATACGGCGAATGTATCTTTTAGCGAAGCCCCAACTGTCTTCGACTCCTTCGCCGGCAATGTTTGGATGGTACTTTGGCGTGAAGACGACGGTGACCTTGCAGTTTGCGTCTGAGAGCTTTTGCGCAAGGAACTCTAGATCGGTCATTTCGCTGGCAAAGTCAGGACGATTCGCCATGAGCCGTGACAAGATCCACCGTTCATGTCCTTCCTTGATGTTGCCATCTTCATCCAAGTCGGCTTTTGCGGGTTCCTTGTGGTACTTGTTGTCCGCATATTCCTCTTCGTTGATCCATCCCGTTTCCCAGAGGACCTGACTGAGGCCCTTTGCCCGACCAACCCATCCAAAAGTCTTGATTCGTGGCTCTTCCTTGTAAATGTCAAGTCCCGCCTCTGCTAGGCGCTCTTGCAAAGCACTCTTACTGAGATTGCCTTGCGGCAACTCTTTACCGGCGGCTTGGTATTCTGCCTTCATTTCTTTGACGGTCTTTGGGACGCTCTTGGTGGATTTGACGACTGTGTTCAATGAAATGCCATCCTTTTCCGCTTCGGCACGGAGTTTCTTCAAGCAGCCCTTTCCCTTATCAAGTGTCTTTGAATCGACGTTGCGATGAGCTGCGATTTCCTTGCGAAGTTGTGCGGCAGTCTTGGGTTTGATCTCGTCTTCATGGAAGACGTCAAACCGCTGGGCCAGCCGTTCTTCGGGAGTGAGATACCAAGGACCGTCGCCTGGCTCCAACTTTTCCTCGTCGGATTCCCACATGAGCTTTTGTTCGTCTCCCACTTGATACAGCGATGGACCGAACGATCCAATGCATCCCTCGCCAAGTGTGGTTTCCCGCATATGTGTCTTGCTCCCATGATTTTTCATCATGCAGTTGACGTCCAAGCCTCCGTCAATTTTCTTTGTATGGCCGCTGCTTTGGTCGAACAGGAAGACGAAATCATGGCCTGGGAACATCTCCTTGACACTGTCAACGGCATCTTCGAACTGAATCTTCATTCGGTTGCCATTCCAGTAACCGTTGTGTCCTTGGCCGATTTGGATACAGCGCATGAACGGGGATTTGCACATTTCATCCGCTGCCTCTTTGGTAATCGGCAGCTTGTGAGAGTCTCCCAGCTCAACTTTGGCGGCATCTTCGGAGACGTATTGAGAATCTTTGCGCCGCTCATTGATATCTTCAAGCCAATCCGAAATATCTGGATCCATTCCGAAGGCATCCGAGACGAAGGCGCTGACATGAAGACCTTGGCCATCGTTCTTCTTGCGGAGAATTTGCTCACCGTCAATGCTCCAGGCTTTCTTCGAAACGATGAACTGCATGAATACAGACTCGTCCTGTCCAATGACGATGACTGGACGCTGATTTGTGGAGTCAAAGTCGCGCTTGAGTCCTCCGCCAAACTTGCGCTGCTCCTCAGGTACGAATTGCAGGAGCTTTTCATGGTTGGAGTCAATGTGGTATTCGCGCATCTGAACTTTGTTTTCGTCTTCTCCGATCTCGTATGTCTCATAGTGAGTTGAGTCCGCCGAAAGGAATCCTTCCGCTTCCAGCTCCTCGGCAGCAGTTTCGGGCACCTGCGCCCAGCGATAACAGCATTCTTCGAGTTCCAAGTACCGTTTGATGAACTTCTTGCGGTAGGCCACATTGTCAGGACGCTCATGACCGTCGGTGTAATACGTCTTGGTGTTCTCGCGGTACTCGAATCCCAGGAGCCGCAACCAACGCCATGCAGTGAAGACAGCGATGGACTTGAGCCGAACCATGGCCAGGAATTGCTCCTTATTGAGTGGCTTGATTCCTGAGAGAGCAAGCTCGACATTACACTTCTCCATGCAGTGAGGGACTACGGTTTCAATCAGGTACCGCTGTGCAAACTCGCAGGTAAGTCTTTCCAAGTTCTTCTTGCAATGACGATACAGCATGATGTGAGCTTCTGGGAACACACTGAAAAACTCAACGCTTCCTTTGCCGTTTGTTCTTCGTGGAGGCATGAAGCCCTCGTAACGCATGAAGATCCGTTGCGCGTCGTACACCACTCTAAAATGGTTGTATGCACGATTTCCACCAGTTCGGCAATCTGCGACAGCTTGTTCAACGCATCTTTCCCAAGACCACCAGTACCGGGGAATTCTGTCGAGAGCCACTTCGTATGCTCGGCAGACGAAGATTGCTTTGTTCGTGATGGATTGTCTTGCACTGACGGAGAGTTCTTCGAATTCCTGGTCCGTACCTACGAGGATTGACGGCATCTCTCTCCAATCGTCAAGGGCGGATCGAAGCTTCGCGACGCGCTCTTCCAAGCAATCTTTGACCGTTTGTTTCGGTGAAGGTTTGAAGACAAGACGAAACCTTTCGTACTCGAGCCTCTTCGGATCAAACTTTGTTTCTTCCGGCTGCGGCTTCCGCGAGGCAAAGGAGGCGATGGAGGGAACCTCACTGCGACAGAGCGAAGCATCCTCAAGAAACGAGTCGTCGTCTTTGGCAGTTGACGGACCAGGAATTGTTTTGGGCACAGAGTCGTCATCTTTGGCCATGGATTCGTCATCTTGGGCTGCTGGTTCATCATCGTTGAGCTGGGAGACGGTATCTTCAAGCTGGGAGACGGTATCTTTGGCCGGAGAGTCGTCAGCGCCGAGCTCGTCCTTTTCTAAATCAACGTGTCCAACCAACGCTCTTAGATACTCCCGCGATGAACGGCGACGGCGAACTGCAGCACGGGGACTACGGCGAACCGCAGTACCACCGTTGACGGATGTGGGCTCAAATGGTACGGGATGGCTGTCGGTGCGAGTACGAGGACGGTGCGCTACCGGTGTCTTTTCCTTGTTTTGCTTTTTCGATCGTGGCGGAGTTTGTGTCGTCTCTGATGACTGCCTCTTGCGCTCATCATCGTTTTGTTGCGGTAAGTTTTTGTTCGACTCATCTACAACGGTTGTTCCCCCTAAATTCCCGGTGCTAACAGTTGTGGAGTTATTGCTTTCTTTTTGGCTATTTAGAGTTCCCCTTGGCTGTCGCCTCATAGCCGCCTCCAGTTTGCCATCCATCTCTCCAAGACTAGGAGATCGCTGCCTTGTTGATCTGGATCTCTCTCCATATGATTTCACGGCAAGAATGTCAGGATGAGAGCCAACCTCAATTTGATGAGATTTTAAGAGTAAGTCTTGCCATAACTCTTCCTCTTTGTTGAGTGGAAGAGATGGTGCTTCCTTAGATCTAGAGAGGAATATTAACCTTCTCCTCTTTTTCTTTGCTTTGGTGCCATCAATAAGGAATCCTTTGAATGTGACAGCCTGTGCAAAGTGAAGAGGCGTGCTGTTGCCATTGTTGTCGCTGTTGCTGATTTGGATCCCATCCATTGCCTTTGACAGTTGCCCTGTGGCCACATCCTTATTGTCCACATTGTATCTCTTGCAGATGACTGCTTTGATGGCATCAAGGGTCAACCAACAGTCCTTGAAGGGAGAGACATTGTCTGCCTTGTCGGCATCAAGGAGATCAACCACTAATCCAGCCAGGAATTCTCTGCTGAGCTCCATGACACACCTTGGAGATAGCTGAGTCCCTTCAAGGGGTGGCTCTGTGAGTGTGTTGGGGAGCTAGTCCTCTGACAGACTCAGCTAGAACAATGTAATGGTAGAGCTAGAGACCATTTGGCCAACACTGTTGCCATGGTGGTAAAATTGATCTTTTCTTTGTTCTTTGTTATTCTTTGGTGCTCTGCTGTTTGGCGGCAAATCGCGAAATGACCACTTCCGGGTTCCCATTTCCGAAAACCGAAAAATAACCGTCAAAAACGCTCACATTTTGACGTCTGCGTGGCGGCCCTGCTGCCTGCTGGTACCACGGAAACTGCTATTAATACGGAACAGTCAGGAACCTTTCTACTGGAAACGGTATTGGCTACGAGCAGCTTCGATTTTATTGATTCAAACGCGTGCCGGCTTTTCTGGTACACTTCAACGAGAGCTGGCTGATGTAGAAATGTACCAAGTAGCTCGGCTCGCGTTTGAATCAATGAAATGGAAGCTTCCTGTACCCGTACCGCACTGGTTAATGAGATCTCTCTTCCTACATGTACCACCGGTACCAGTACCAGAGAGTCTACGTCCTGCATGAAACAACATCACATCCAAAACAAGCCACAACACATCATTTTTCTTTGTCACTCCTCCCTCCTCTAAAGTAGATGCACTCTGTCACACTCATAGCCACATCTAGAAGATGCTCCCAATACCAACATTGTTAATATTGACGTGCCCGTCGCAGCCATTCTATCTAGAAGTCCATTCGGTGACAGTGTAACTATTCAGGAGCTAGCGAACTGGAGGTTGCCGTTTTCTCTTGATTTTTGACTTTCTGGCATCAGTGGTAGTGGTGAAAGCCATTTCCCAGGCCGCAACCTCCATTGCCTTTCATAATGGCACCACCCATGAAACCAAGAAGCCCAAGGCATCCGAATCTACACCGGTAATACCAGCAAAAAGGAAGAAATTGGTGGTGGATTCCCAATTGCATCCACTGTCTGGATCCACCAGTCGATCGAACGAAGACGGGATCGAACGAAGACGGCTGCTACTACCACGGCGACAACAAGAAATGGTCACTACTACTACAGTTGTCAAAACCGATTCCGATGTCGAACAGCATCCTGTTGGCAGAAGAAACGGAAGTCAAGTGACAATGAAGCCGGACTCAATGGAAAGTACTAGCTAGTACGCTGCGAGAATGCGAGGTACTAGCTAGCTAGCAGTAGTCAAAGATTTGGAGGGGACCAGAAGAAGACTTAATAAACAATGAAACGTCAAAGAACGAACATACCAACACTTCACCGACGTCATGCGTCTCCTCTACGGAAAACGCAAGTCAGATTCATACGCAAGACACTTCGCCAACGAATTCCAAAACTTCGCATCTCCTTCACCATTCCGACTCAACGGCGACATTCAAAGGAACAGCATCGAAATTAGCATCATATGGCAAGGCAACCCCATCAGCACTGTCAAGACCTTCGGGACACGACACTGCAGCCTATGCAACAGGGAGCGACTCGAGATACTGAAACGATCCAGAGAATCGCCAGAAAACCTGATCAACTCCTGCAATGAAATATACGGAGCATGCCGACATAAACTCGATTTCATAAGTACCACAATAGCCCAAGCACTGATGATTCCCAGGGGGATGAAAAAGTCAAACAACCGAAAAGTTACACAGAGTAAAGCCTGTGTTTTGGCGATTCGGCAGTTTGTGCTGATCAAGAGTAAAACTACTTAATTCAGTCACTTTTTGCTAAAATCGTATGAAACATAAAATATCTTAAAAGTGCAAACAAAACTGGTTCCGTAACCCGTCTTGGTTTAGGAGATCGAGATCAATGGATTAGAAAGAAGCCGGTTAGGCGGCTTGACCCATCCCGCCGGTACGAAACTGGAAGGGTTTGCCTACGCTGCCGATGTGTCGCCAACAACTCAGCGTCTCTACATGTACTAGACAGCATCGGAATGGTGTTGGTGCCTCTTGTGATCCTTCACAAAAGCAAGCCGATAGACAACAACAGTTAGACTACTGATCGTGTCCCTTTTTTTTTGGGGGGGGGGGGCAGTAAAACAACTGTAATGGCACCACGTGGCTTGTTCCTACCACCTTCACGGCCAGGGAAGCATCAATTCTCAAGTTACCCATAAAAGACACTATCCGGTACGACAGTTAGTCCCCTCCTCCAAGCCTTGGATACAAAACCTTTGTCAACTCACTCAGTTTTCAAGAAATCTTTGGAGCCTCTTTGGAAGGCTGGTTCAAAGCTGAGCCAACGCGTTTGCTAGAGTTCTTGCTTTCCAACACCCTGTGAGGATGCTTCTCCGCTTGCTAGCGACGATTGAAAGGAATGAATCATTTTGTTCGAACGATATCTCTGTCCTCAATTGTTTTTGCTTGCGAGTGGCTCTGCATGGATCGTGGGGCGTGGAAACGTCAAGCCAGTTTGGCTGTTTGATTCTGTGGCGCAGGTGGTACCGGTACGTACCGGTGCGTACCTACCTAGTAGGACATACCGGAAGGGAAGGATCACTGTTTGGTGCATGCCCATGGTCACTCTCCTGTCAAGGGGAGTCGAGTCCTCTGCAAGCCCACAGCTGCACCTATCGGTTGCTTCAGACAGAATCTTCTCCGTTGAGGTCGGTTGCCACTTGAATGCCAGTACTCCATTTGGAGATGACCTCACTCACTGTAGTAAAGGAATTCTCTGCCAGTTTGATCGTCAGCTGGAGGAGGACAGAAAAAGAGTAAGCTAGATAATCTACAGTGAGATTGAGATCATTCTACATATAACAAGAGAGGAGGAGTAGAGGAGGTTCCTTGTAGCATTGCCGCTGAAGCGTGGAATTTGCTCCCATCTATGGACCATTAGCTGTTGTGTTGTCGTTACCTGTGATTGTTGCGAACACCGCAATAGCTAGCGACGACTACTCCATGTACAGTATGACCTTCTAGCTAGTAGGCCACGCGACTTGGACCGCCATGTGAGCAGAGCCGATCGCTGCCCTCGAAAACAATCTAGCAACTGCTTGCCAGGCAATACTTGCCAATCTGAAAATTTAACATCGACACCTACGGTACGACTGTGCGGTCACAGCAAATCCTCCGCCAATACCTCACAATTTCAAAAACGAAGCGCAACGGTTTACCATCTAGTGCCTCGAGCCACCAGAGACACAATACAATACACTCCACTGCAAGCAAACGAACTTTCCACAACCATGACGATTCAAACAAACCCCGACGACTTGATGACGGAAGAATCGCTGTACTTTCACGAAACCCCCAATGACAATAGCTTTTCCAACTACGACTTTAGTGAGAATGCTGACTCCTTTGGTTCACTAAAAGAGGTGGATATGTTCGTCGAGCTGAACAACGAACCCGACCCAAAGTTCATGCACACGAGAGCCAGTATCCGTCAAAGCACTTGCAGCCTTGGTATGAGCTTTAGCGCATTGGAAGAGTTGGAAAAGGCAGCCGAAGATGAATCGGAAACCTCAGCATCGACCAAGGATGAACCTATTCCCGTGACGCCAAAGCCCAGACCCGGGTTGTTGGGTAGCAACCCAAGACCGAGTATGGCCGACACCAATGGCAAGTCTCAACGAGGCCTCGTCAAGGGAGTCTGGAAATCTATGAAATCCTTGGGCGGAATCAGCAGTGGCAAAACCCATGACGGAGCCAATGACGACGACGCTGCTTCGGTGGAAGAGTCAAGTCCTCCCCAAAGAATGTCGAGCGTGCGCAGTTTGAGTAACAAGAGCATCGACCTCGATGACGACTCGCTCTGCGACGAGTCGGAGAAGGAGGTCGAAAGTGCTCCTCGTGGGGATAGCACCGACGAGGTCCAAACTACTCCTCAGAGAGGAAGCCTTCAAAGGCAGAACTCTGCGAAGGAGGACAAAAGGGCCAAGCTCAAGAAACAGAATTCCTTGAAGAAGTCTTTCAGTTTCAAGCTGTCAAAGAAGAGCTCCTCCAAGAAGAATCTAATGCTTGATGACGATGATTCCCAGGGGGCATCAGAGAAGCATGCTGAAGGGGCAAATAGTGCTCCTCAGAGAGGCAACCTTGCAAATCTGCATTCCATGAAAGATGACAAAAGGGCCAAACTCAAGAAACAGAATTCCTTGAAGAAGGCTTTCAGTTTCAAGCTGTCAAAGAAGAGCTCCTCCAAGAAGAACCTCATGATTGACGATGATGATTCCCTGGCAGCACCTGAAAAGGATGTAGTAGACGTCAAGAGTACTCCTATGAGGGGAAGGTTGAGCCAGAACGCCGCGGGGGCTCAAACAGCATGAGAACAAAGTCTGTCCCTGGCTGAGTAGAAGTATTAGCTCTAGTAGCTTATGAATAGAAATGAATAACTATAACAACGTTACAGGTGGAGTCGCGGTAGGTAATTGTACAATAAAGTGGAGGGAAACTAGCTAACTACATCATTAGGAATGGTCCAGAAGGATTACCATACCTACGATGTCACGAATAGCAACGAATCGAATCAGGCAGGCCCAACAATCAAATGATCCAATTCGTGTCCGTCTTCTTTGCTATTCGGGCCCAACCGGTACGTAGGGGTTGCCCCCAATGGATTCTCCGCGCCAATGGTCGATTTGCCCATTCTGGCAGGAACATGAGACCAAGTTGGATCTACTCAAGTCATGAGCGGGAATGATACGAATCCAAGAGCAAGAATCCGAGCAGGAGCCAGCTACCAGGCAAGAAGAGATATTCGTTCAGCGTTCGAGCCCCCCTTACCCAACCTGCGAAAGTGGAGGGCGAGACTTGCTTTCTGAGCACCCGTGCGGACGGAAATATTCCCCGTCCTCGTCGTCGTTTGGCTTCCATCGTTTTGGACGTGTCAACCATGGTAAACGCCTGACGGGTTCGGCGTGGACCCGTAGGCAATACTCAATTTGCGTCTACGGTGATCCCCGGAACGAGGCCATTGGTCCGGAACGCCCACTCCCAAGCGAACGCAGCCGTGCGTCCGCTTTTAAGACGAGACGAAAGATTGTCCCCAACCTTTGCGAAAATGTGTGAGCACAGTGGTGCTGACGGCAGCGGTCAGCCGCCTGGGTTGCAACGAACGGGTGGTCCTCCTCTTTCCTCGACCGCTTGTCAGTGCTGGCGCATAGGTTTACAGAGCAAGGGGGGATGATAGCATCGCACCATGACATGGTATTGCAAGGGAAGGCGATAGCACAGCAAGACAAGATATTAGAAGAACAGGGCAAGAAATGAGCAGAGCAAGGAAACAAGATAGCGGAACAAGGGACCGGCGATAGCTGAAATCGATTCAAAAACTAGAGGAGTTGCAAGGACAAGTCGGCTGGACGCATCAGCGCTGCTGTTCAATGCAGATTCCAGGAGATTTGATTCAACTTTTGTATCAAACCTCTTTTGGGGGCACAAGAGCCTACAGACAATCCCAGCTAGGTTTTGTTGCATGTTTTTCTTCAGAGCTACAAGGTGCTTTGTGGGATAGTTTGAGGAGTAAGGCTGTTTAAGTTTTGGTTTGCTTAGCTGGTACTAACACAGTGGGTGGAACCTGCGTGGCTGACCTGATGCTTAATACTAATTCAAAAGCCTGGTGTAGTGTAGTGTCACAAGCCACCTTAATATGTTGGTGCATCTGTGGGAGCAAAAGTGGGTGCATCTGTGGGAGCAAAAGTGGGTGCATCTGTTGGTGCAAAGGTTGGTGCATCTGTTGGAGAATCTGTTGGACTTTGTGTGGGGGAGGAAGTTGGTGCAAAAGTTGGCGCATCTGTTGGACTTTGTGTGGGGAGGAAGTTGGTGTTTGTGTTGGGACTTGTTGGACTCTGTGTAGGAGAGGACGTTGGGGCTTGGTTGGGGCAGAAGTTGGACTCTGAGTAGGGGAGGAAGTTGGTGCTTTTGTTGGTGTACTTGTTGGCTCTGTGTAGGAGAGGACGTTGGGGCCTTGGTTGGGGCAGAAGTTGGACTCTGAGTAGGGGAGGAAGTTGGTGCTTTTGTTGGTGTACTTGTTGGACTCTGTGTAGGAGAGGAGGTTGGGGCCTTGTTGCGGCAGAAGTTTGTGCTTTTGTTTGAGCAGAAGTAGGAGCAACAGTAGGTGCTGGAATGGTTGGGACCAAAGTAGGGGCAGAGGTGGGTACCTTAGTTGGAGAAGAAGTTGGACTCTGTGTAGAGGAAGCTGTAGGTGTAGCAGTTGGGGCTTCAGTTTGCTTGGGAAGACAGAGATGGTCGGCTCCACTGCAATGTGCTGGCCAAGAACCTTGGGGAACGGCTCCCTTTGCTACACATTTTTCTGTTGGGCCACATTGGGCATCAGTTTGGCAGATGATGTGGTTAGCACATCCCACGAAAGATGTGAAAGATGTCTGTGGCAAGTTGGAAGGACTGTAGGAGCTGGTGTCCTGGAGAGGAGTGATAACGATTGCGGGGGCTTGGTAGGAGAAGCAGTTGGGGCTTCGGTTTGCTTGGGAAGACAGAGATGGTTGGCTCCACTGCAATGTGCTGGCCAAGAACCTTGGGGAACGGCTCCCTTTGCTACACATTTTTCTGTTGGGCCACATTGGGCATCAGTTTGGCAGATGATGTGGTTAGCACATCCCACGAAAGATGTGAAAGATGTCTGTGGCAGAGTTGGAAGGACTGTAGGAGCTGGTTTCCATGGCAGAGGAGTGATAACGATTGCGGGGGGCTTGGTAGGAGAAGCAGTTGGGGCTTCAGTTTGCTTGGGAAGACAGAGATGGTCGGCTCCACTGCAATGTGCTGGCCAAGAACCTTGGGGAACGGCTCCCTGTGCTACACATTTTTCTGTTGGGCCACATTGGGCATCAGTTTGGCAGATGATGTGGTTAGCACATCCCACGAAAGATGTGAAAGATGTTTGTGGCAGAGTTGGAAGGACTGTAGGACTGGGTCCATGGAGAGGAGTGATAACGATTGCGGGGGGCTTGGTAGGAGAAGCAGTTGGGGCTTCGGTTTGCTTGGGAAGACAGAGATGGTCGGCTCCACTGCAATGTGCTGGCCAAGAACCTTGGGGAACGGCTCCCTTTGCTACACATTTTTCTGTTGGGCCACATTGGGCATCAGTTTGGCAGATGATGTGGTTAGCACATCCCACGAAAGATGTGAAAGATGTCTGTGCAGAGTTGGAAGGACTGTAGGAGCTGGTGTCCATGGCAGAGGAGTGATAACGATTGCGGGGGGCTTCGTAGGAGAAGCAGTTGGGGCTTTAGTTTGCTTGGAATTAGATCCCACGAAAGTTGTGAAAGAAGTCTGTAGCGGAGTTTGAAGGACTGTAGGAACTGGTGTCTGTGGTAGAGGAGTGATAATGGTTACGGGAGGCTTGGTAGGAGCAGCTGTTGGGGCTTCAGTTTGATTGGGATTAGATCCCACGAAAGTTGTGAAAGAAGTCTGTAGCGGAGTTTGAAGGACTGTAGGAACTGGTGTCTGTGGTAGAGGAGTGATAACGGTTACGGGAGGCTTGGTAGGAGAGCTGTTGGGGCTTCAGTTTGTTGGGATTAGATCCACGAAAGTTGTGAAAGAAGTTGTAGCGGAGTTTGAAGGACTGTAGGAACTGGTGTCTGTGGTAGAGGAGTGATAACGGTTACGGGTGGCTTGGTAGGAGCAGCTGTTGGGGCTTCAGTTTGCTTGGGATTAGATCCCACGAAAGTTGTGAAAGAAGTCTGTAGCGGAGTTTGAAGGACTGTAGGAACTGGTGTCTGTGGTAGAGGAGTGATAACGGTTACGGGAGGCTTGGTAGGAGCAGCTGTTGGGGTTCAGTTTGCTTGGGATTAGATCCACGAAAGTTGTGAAAGAAGTCTGTAGCGGAGTTTGAAGGACTGTAGGAACTGGTGTCTGTGGTAGAGGAGTGATAACGGTTACGGGTGGCTTGGTAGGAGCAGCTGTTGGGGCTTCAGTTTGCTTGGGATTAGATCCCACGAAAGTTGTGAAAGAAGTCTGTAGCGGAGTTGAAGGACTGTAGGAACTGGTGTCTGTGGTAGAGGAGTGATAAGGTTACGGGTGGCTTGGTAGAGCAGCTGTTGGGGCTTCAGTTTGCTTGGGATTAGATCCCACGAAAGTTGTGAAAGAAGTCTGTAGCGGAGTTTGAAGGACTGTAGGAACTGGTGTCTGTGGTAGAGGAGTGATAACGGTTACGGGTGGCTTGGTAGGAGCAGCTGTTGGGGCTTCAGTTTGCTTGGGATTAGATCCACGAAAGTTGTGAAAGAAGTCTGTAGCGGAGTTTGAAGGACTGTAGGAACTGGTGTCTGTGGTAGAGGAGTGATAACGGTTACGGGAGGCTTGGTAGGAGCAGCTGTTGGGGCTTCAGTTTGCTTGGGATTAGATCCCACGAAAGTTGTGAAAGAAGTCTGTAGCGGAGTTTGAAGGACTGTAGGAACTGGTGTCTGTGGTAGAGGAGTGATAATGGTAACAGGAGGCTTGGTAGAAGAAGCTGTTGGGGCTTCAGTTTTTTTGGAAATGTTTGTGTTTGGCACAAGTATGGTGGTTGTGACTGAGTCAGTTGGACCCAACGTGGGGTGACCTGTTGGTTTTTCTATTGGGCTTCTGGTTGGAGTTTTGCTTGGTTGTCTTGTGGGCCCTTCAGTTATGGGGCTTGCAATAGGTTTTTGAGTTGTTGTCTTTGTGGGGTGCCCCGTTGGTGTTCTGGTTGGAGTGCCGGTTGGTGTGCCTGTTGGTATACTGGATTTTGCTTGCCCAGTGGGGCTACCTTTTGGTGGGCTTGTGGGGCTATCAGAAGGTCTACTTGTTCCTGTTCGAGTTGCGTTGGGAGCAACTATTAACAGACTGGTTGGTACACCAGTGGGTGCTACAGTATCCAAGCCTGTACTGGGAGGAACAGTGGTTGGAGTGCCAGTAGGAGAATCTGACAAGGAGGATGCAATTGGGGTTCCTGTTGTTGGAGCAGCACTAGGGTGCCGACTTGCCACTGTTGGAGTCAATGTTGTGGGGTTCAATGTTGTTGGGCTGACAGTTTGTCTTTCAGTGGGGCTGGAAGTGGGAGAAGTAGTGGGGATTCCACTGGGAGTGCCTGTCGGACTTTCAGTGTGAGTGCCAGTATTAGGAAGTCCTGTCGGAGTCCCCATAGCAACTTTAGTGGGAGTCTCGGTGAGACTTTGAGTGGAAGTACCAGTGGGAGATCCAGTGGGGTGTACAGTGGGTGCTCTCAGCAGGGAACTATTTGAAGCTACTGTTGGCAAACCAGATGCAGGGGTTTGCGTAGTTGGAAAGCTTGTGAGAACCAAAGTGGGAGAGGCAGTGGATGAGGATTGTGTAGGTGAACTACTTGAAGTTGCTTGAGTAGGAGACACAGTGGGAATTGGAGACTTCACAGTGTGTTGGTTTGGCGCAGCTGTTGGTGTTGAAATAGGGGGAATTGTTGACTGTGTTGGTGTCTCCAAAGCTGGCCCTTGGGAAGAAGTTGTGGCTGTTGGTACTTCTGAAGGGCTCAATGTTGGTGTTTCTGATGAACCTCGCAAACTAGTTGGGCTTGAATTAGAGGGGGCCTGCGTCGTTGTCTTTGTGATTGTATTATTTGCAACTGTGGGGGGCAAGGTCTGTTTGTTGGTGGTTGGTGTTGTTGTAGGACTGGCAGTGGGCACTGCATTGGCAGTGTTCCTCGGAGTAGGCGATGCGGTATGGGCAACTTGATGTGGGGGGTTTGTTGTGGTAGTGTGGACTGATATTTCAACTGGTGCCCTTGATGGTTTGTCAGTGATGCCAACTGATGTTGGTGGGGTTTTAGAAGGAGGATTTGTTGGTCTTATGGTTGGCTTCTTGGAATGCGGACCTTGGGGGCGAGGATTGCGTGCATTGGGTGGGCTGGTTGGTTTTGTTGTTTGTTGAGGATTTGTATGGGTGTTGTGATGCACATTTGGGTGTGTGTGGGAGTTTGTTTGCTGAGGATGGGGATTGGACTGTGGGTGAGGGTGTGGATTGGACTGCGGGTGAGGATGGGGGTTCGACTGAGGTCGAGGTCGAGGATTATTGTTGCTGTTTTGGGGTTTTGTCGGTTTGGTCGTGGGCTTGGTCGTAGGCTTGGTTGTAGGCTTGGTCGTAGGCTTGGTCGTAGGCTTGGTCATAGGCTTGGTCGTAGGCTTGGTCATAGGCTTGGTCGTAGGCTTGGCTGTTGGATTCCTAGTAGGGGGTTGGGTTGGGCGAAGATAGGATTTTTTCTGGCGTATTCGGCACTTGCGCACTGGCTTCTCTGGCTCTGGACAAATGCACATGTCACTGGCAGAAGGTGCTGTGGAAGGCATTGAAGAGGGTGATGCAGAGGGAGCAACAGAAGGGGCTTGTGAAGGAGCAACAGAAGGGGCTGCTGATGGGGAAGCACTGGGAACTGTACTTGGGGCAATGCTTGGAATTGACGATGGTGCTTGACTGGGTTCCGAAGATGGAGCTTGGCTTGGTGCATAACTAAGTTCTCTTTCAGCGCAGAAACAGTGGCAGATACAGTCAGATGGTGCCAGGGAAGGCATGGAAGAAGGTGCTTGCGAAGGCATGGCAGAGGGCAAAGCAGAGGGAGTTGCCGAAGCCATGCTGGAAATTGCAGCTGACGGGGATGCGCTTGGAGTTGCACTAGGTGCCATGCTTGGAACCAATGATGGTGCTTGGCTTGGTTCAGATGACGGGGCATTGCTCGGAGCAAGACTAGGAGCGCTGGTGGAACAGATGCAGGCATCCACATCGTTAGTAGGGCTTTGAGATGGCGCCTGAGAGGGCACCGAGGATGGGCTGGCTGATGGAGTGGCTGAAGGGCTCCAAGACCAGAAAGGACTGGCTGATGGACTTGACGATGGACTCCATGAAGGGATGGTGCTTGGTGCAACCGATGGAGTCTGGGAAGGAACAGCACTAGGAGTCATCGAGGGACTTTGAGAAGGAGCCACTGATGGACTTTGAGAAGGGACTGTGCTGGGCATATCCGACTCTTCTATATCAAGTTCATCACACCAAGGGAGTTCTTCCTCCTTGGTTGCAGTTGGAGCTTGACTTGGAGCATTGCTGGGTGAATTGCTGGGTGCATTGCTTGGAGATGCACTGGGGGCTTGGCTGGGCTGATTGCTTGGAGCCGAACTGGGCATGCTAGATGGCGCTTGAGAGGGTGCTTCGGAGGAAGCCTCTGCCAGCCTGACCCTCAGGTATGCTTGGGATGGCTTGACTTGGCTCTGGGCAGTCAAGAGAAAGACAGCTACAATGGTTGGTAGGAACTTCATAATTTTTTCGTAATGCGGTGAACGTCAGGCTGATGGCTGGCTTGTTTGGGTTATCGTTTCTTTGTGGCAGGTTCTGAAGATTTGATCTGAGGGCTGTTGTGTTTCGCGTTGCTATTGATTGTTTGGATTGGGATTGGATTATTTGGATTGGTTTTCGATGTTGCTGTTTGTTGTGTTATTGTTTGGTTGTTTGGTTGTTTGGTTGTTTGGTTGTTTGGTTGTTTGGTTGTTTGGTTGTTTGGTTGTTTGGTTGTTTGGTTGTTTGGTTGTTTGGTTGTTTGGTTGTTTGGTTGTGTTATTGTTTGTTGTTTGTTGTGTTGTTGTTTGGGCTTTGGTTTTGTGAGACGAAAAAGATCCACTCATTTTTCCGGGCCTGACATTTTTCGCCTGGCATTTCAAGTGGATACGCTTCCACTTGAAGCGAGTGTTGCGGCTTTTCATCCCTGTTCTCCATCCCTTGGTGCCGATGGCAATCTCATCCGCTGATGTAGCTAGACAGGAAGGTTTACTTTTGACGTGGTCTCATGATGATCACCGTAGACGATACTGTTGATTACCGTAGAAAACTCCATCGAATCTGTGTTTGATATCCAAACCAAACCAGTCGGATCTGTGTTTGATACCAATTAGCCAGCTGAACTGTTGAATTTTCCCGATGGGTCACAGTTTGAGACTTGCTTGGAGGTTGTTGTTCGTGGTAGGTCGTTTTGCAATTGCCACTGTGGCCACCGGTAGTTGTTTGTCTGCTTATACAGTAATGTTAGATATCTATTCTCTGTTGCGTTTTTCAACAAGAGGCGCAGCGATGTGGTGAAGAAGTCGGCTTCTAAAGGAGCTGAGTTTGCTTCTTGTTGTCACAGAGTTTGGGTGCTGCCCCTTTGGCTGCGCGTCGAAGCTCGAAGGCATGCGTTGAAGAGATTTTTGGTCTCTTGTCAGTCGTGGATATTTTGTCGCCTGGAGCGCTCCACACAGACGAAAGCATCACGGGTTTTTGCAGATGAGAGAAAGGCCGTGCTACTACCGGTATACGAATGTGATGGACGAAGAATATGCTCTTTCCAGCAATGAGGAGTCAGTATTGCAGCAGCAGAGACTTTCCTCTCGAAATAATGACGACCTTTCCGGCAACGATGAGGAAGAGGTTCTTCATCGGCTCTGGAGAGACCAGCCGTCTTGGATTGCTGCCTTGGGGGACGTGGATCCGTTTGCCAGTCAAATGCCAACTCTCTTTCCGTACGAACTGCCGACAGGGCTCAGCATCCAAGGCCGAAGGATGAGTGGCTCTACGATTGTTACTACCACGACAGCCGCAACACGCACAACAGAACCGGTCAAGAATTTGTTTGGGAAAAAAAGATCCAGTCCACAGCTACAAATCCTTCTAGACCGTCTGTATGAGAACTGCCTGGACAAGCCGAGGCCATTCTTACACAAACAGCACCGAGTCTACGCGACGACAACGACAAACGCCAGCGCCAGTACTAGTGAAGAAGACACACGGCAACTTTCGCAATTGGAAGTGGAATTACGCGAGTTGGAGGAACGATGGATGGACCCGCAATTCACACTGGATAATGCCTTTCGCACCAAAAGCGAATTTGAAATGGCGTGGACCAACCAGAAAATTGCCGACTTGGCCATGACCATGGGACTGTTCCCCCGCGCAGCTAAGGCGCTCCAAGACCGATTGCGGATTCTCCAGAGTATTCACTATCGTGGCAGTTCGGCAGTCATTCGGGATGATAGTGTGTTGGCGCCTGAAATTAGGAAATGTTCACAATGACATGGGTCTACTAGAAGATGCCATGAAATACTACGAGGATGCCATGGAAATTCTGCGGACGTTTCATAACAAGCACCAGCAACATCCTATCAGTTCCAACTGCTACTATTCAGACTGCTACATTGGCAAGGGGAGGACCCTCCTGAACATGAGTACGAAAACGAATAATACAACAGACCAAACCCATAATAACGATAACGACAAACTACTACAAGAAGCATTTGAGAACCTTCAGCACGCATGGAAAACGCTCAAATGGAATTTTGGCGGAGGAGCCTCCCAAAAAACGTCTACAGCAATCCAAACCAATTGTTCTGCCGGCGATGCATTGTATCTCATGGGTCATGCACAAATGCTCCGTGCCAATAGAATCAAAAAAGATGACACAATGCGCATCATATTGCTCCAGGAAGCCTTGACGCATTGGAAATATGCGCTCCAAAAACACAACGAGGAGCAGACTATAGAGCACGAAAAGGTCATTGAAACATCACGTGCGATTGGGATGGCCTACACTCGATTGCAGGAACCAGACATGGCGTTGCCCTACTTGGAAGATTGTCTACAAATTGCCAGATCTTTACGAGAGGATGATGAACAACGTATCCAGTTGGCGTGGACATTTATCGCTTTGGGAGATTGCTATACTTCCAGCAGTCCCGAAAAGACACAAACTAATAATGATCAAGCTCTCGAAGCGTATCAAGAGGCCTTGTCGGTGGTGCTACCCAAGGAAGAGGAGCAACGTCAGATGCTCCTAATGCTAGAACTAGATGCTATGGTGGCTTTGGGAGACTTTCATTGCAAGGCCGGAGACGAGACACAAGCGCTATACTATTATCAGGAAGGTAAGAGTAAAATTTATTTGTGGAGGAGCTTGATTTCTGAGACGACCATGCATGAGAATCACAACAGCTTAATTCGTTATGACACGGTTTTCCTCGCAGTGCCTTTCAAACTATCACCCAAGTTTCATCTTATCGTACGTGTGAAACAAGCCATTCTTCTGTTTCGGAAAGGTGAAATTTCGTCTGCATTGGCTTGCTTCGAAGAATACCTGGAGCAATGTCAAGAGGAAGCGAACGAAGATGAAGCCTACTTTGTGGCATTGTTCTCCACCGGCATTTGTTACTATTTGGAGGAGCGAGACAAAGCCAAGGCCGATGGCTACTACTGGAAAGCAATCCAGGTGGCCACTCGCAATCAACTATTTGATGATGATCCAATGTCCAGCAAGGCTCTCAAGAGCCTCGAGTCAAAACTGAAAAGGTCCAAACGGGGTAGTATGTTGGGTCAAACGATAGCAAGTTGGGTGGCAGGCCGTGACACTGCGTAACTCAAATGCCGCCATGATAAGCATGCACCATACCATCGAAATCACGTTCGTGTGAGAGATTGGCCCGGTGGACTTTGGTTTTTCCTCGCGTCGCTTGCATTGTGCTACGGTAGCCTTGTTGGCGCGAACCGGACGCCTGGAGTAGTCGACTTGCGATGCTCTTTTCTCCCTCTACCATGTATCGGACAAGGTATCTGCAGCACAACAGTTGGTGACACCTGCCAAGGGACTTGTTACAGATGTCGGTGACGACATGGTCGGTGTCTTTCTGTTGTACAAGTCTTGCAAATAAACCCCCTCCAATTCGCCCGCAAGACCCGTCAGGCGATGCAAATGTTCTTCGACACTGTGATTGGTGTTGAAATCCACCACAAACGGCACCATCACTAGCCGTTGCACCGCTTGTTTAAAGTGTTTCTTCCAATCCAACGCGACCCTCCAGGCAAAGCTATCTGGCGTCCCTCTCGAATGCTTGACCTTGTAAGAATACTTTGGCTGTTGTTGTTGTTGTTGTTGTTGTTGTTGCTTCTGTGGTGCTACCTTGTTCCATTTGAGCCAGGCAGGAATTTGCCGTTGTTTGTAAATGTGTAAATCCATTCCCACGTGCCGATACACATTGTTTTGAAAGCACAAGAAGAATAGCAAGCTCCAAGCCACATAGGCAATGAGATGGAATCCAGCCGCACAGGCTACCACATAGAGCCAATTCCCCCGGTCTGGCAGCTGTGTGAAGATATCAAAATGATTTGTGATGCGCAAACATCGTATCTTGCCCTCTGCTTCTAGCTGTCGAAAGGCCGTTTCAAACGCCAAGTTGCCCACCATGGGACTGGCAAAATTGATGACCGATATAGCATCCTGTTGTTGTTTAGGACGACCCGTGGCGGCGGCTTGAAAACTAAAAACGGTCGCCAGAGCAGCCCCCAGGGAATGTCCCGTCACGTAGATTCGATATCCAGGGTATTCTTGCTGCAATGCTTCCAGCCGAGTCGCCAATTCTTCAAATTTGCTCACACCACTGGCTTGATTGTTGGCATTGAACAAGTAGTCGCAATATCCCGAGTGAATGGCAATGTACTCTGGTTGTTGATTTTCTAGATCCAATCGAAACAGTGGATTGAGTTGTTCCTTGAGTATGTTCGTGGCACATATCGTCCAATCCTTGCGGGTCGAACATCCCCGAAAGATGACTGTGATGCGTCTCCGTGCCGTGTCGACACAAATGGCATAGACTAGTTCGGTCTCGATATTGTCATCTTGCACAGCACACACGGTGAAATCCACCAGAGATACCTGTCCTCGTCGGAATTCCAATTCGAGTTCCCTTGAACTCGAAGAAGACTGAATGGCATCAAAGGCATCCAAGTAGAGCTCGGTCGAGTCGCGGCCAATGTGCTCTTCAATCTGCTTGCGATGGCGCGCCACCAAGCGCACCACATCCTTGGCGGAAATGGGAAGTTGCAGCAACTGTTGAAGCAGATAACAGTCACTACTACCAGTATTCGCATCCACCAACAGTCCCTGCTTGGCCAATGTCCGCAAATCAATGACTCCATAAATGAGAATGGCCGACAGTAGCATGTCCTTGGACTCGTCAAAGACGTTGGGGTATTCCGATGGCGAAGGAGGTCCAATACTGGTATGAAGTAGCTCCAGTGGCTCTGGGATGGGCAGCAAACGACTGCTGTTGCCAGGAGAAAAAGCGTCAATCTCCATGGTCACATCAGCTAACTGCTACAGTAATGTTGTGTCAAGAGCTGTGTCAGGGTCTTTGTCCAACCTCCTTCGTTGTCTTGGGGTCCAGTACTCGAAAAAATGAGGCTGAAACGCTGGAACAGCCGTTGTGTGTCAAGACTTGCTTTTGATTATTTTCTGATTTGAGTCTTGGTTTTTCATTTTATTTGCATGTAAACGTGAAATGCATTTGAATTGCGTGGAAAAAGTGCCATTTGAGCGAACGAGCCCGCGACTTCGAGCCAAATCCGTTGGAACGATCGAAGTGCGCCTCTGTGCTCTTGGCACGGTAAATGTGGCTACTCCTAGCTAGCTACCAGTAGACTACTGCATGAAAGGGTCTGCTGTCTTTCCTCTTACCGAATGAATATGCAGTTTGAAACACAACGGGCCATCACAACCACAAAAGTAAAAGGTGCAGAACGGGTTCTTCGTTACCGGTACCAGGTACCGTACGGTACCGTGGTGGACCAGCGACACAGAATCAGGAAGCCCAACAAACAGAACATTCAATACGGTACATCCAACCAACCAACCATTGGTCTCAAGGAAAACTACCCGTAGGTCTGGCGTTTGCCTTTCTAATGTGTAAGTACAGCTAAACAATGCTGGAGTGTGCTGGCTCTGTCATACACTACCGGTATCCCTTTCCAAGCAACCTATAGTGATTGACCAGCCACACGGAAGAAACCCCATCTTTTCGCTGATTGCTGTATAGTGTAGCCGGGGCTCGACCCCCCTTGCAGTGATCGGTGTATATGCTAGCTGGGGCTGGACCCCCAACAAGAGTCTCGCCGTATGGGGAAGCATACATACAATATTGAATATGAAAATTGAGTTTGGGAACATTTCAGCGCTGCACACCCACAGATCTTCCTAGCTAACCAGCTAGACGTATTAGTGAGTTTGATGAAGCAGCAGCAGTATCCGAGGCTGCGGCATCTTCGGTAGACGCTGCAGCTTCGGCAGGTGAATCCCACAATCGTAGTTGCTGAACACTCTCTGGAACTTGTCGTGTAAACGTCCACGGATACAGGTCCGAGAGCATATCTAGATGAGTGTGACTAGCAGCCGCATACCCCGCATGGGACTTGCTATCCTGCTGATGCACTTGGGCATTGACCCAAACATCATGTTGATTTTGCTGTGCCAAGACGTGTCCCCGTTGCATGGCCAACAAGGCTCCGTGCCACCATATTCCCGCCTGCGAATGTCCGGTGTCACAAAAGTACATGAACCAGTGCCAGACATGCGGTGCTTGCCAAATGGAAAATTGGACCGCCACCAATTGGTCTTGTGGTGTATAATACAAATCGAGTATTCCATCGGGTACCACCGTGACGACCAAGGTCCGTTTGATAAACTCATCCATCGGCATGCTACTGGATGTGGCGCGTTGCTGATGTTGCCACAGAATGGGAAGCACTTGTTGCAAACATAACTGTCGTTCGGCATCCACACAGACATGACGAATATGGTGTCGTTGATAGATTTTCTCCATGCGACGGTAGTGTCGTCGTACCGATTTTCGAAACGACGGACTTGATGATGATACATGTTGTGAAGCAGTGTAATACTGTGTGGTTTCTTGCTCTCGAATGCTTTCGATGCGAGCAATTTGTGGCACCAACGGAAACAGCAGTCGTCGAAAGGGCAACACAAGAGTGCGCTGCCATGACAAATACAAGGGTGATGTCCAGAGCCCCCAGAGATGGAGCACGTTGACGCCCAGAACAGAGAATAGAAGCATCCACGTGTGGTCGATGTGATGCAGTGACACTAGCAACAACAACCAGATCCAGAGCGGCAGAAAACAGACCCAGACTACCAAACCCAAACCCACCAACACCAGTGCCAGAGTCAACAGTCCCAACAAGGCAGCACTGGGAGGAGACTCACTGGGAGAGGACTCATCCGAGTTATCGTTGCCGTCTTGATTATTATTTTGGCCGTTGTTTTCGTCTGTAGTCCTTCTATCGTTCCAGTTTGACCTTCATCATCTCTCTTTGGAAGGAGCGGTTCTCGAGGAGATCCTTCCGTGTGCTCCTGCTGCTCTTCCTCTTGCGGCGGGTTCATTTTACTAACTACTACCGGTAGCCGTGCCAGTGCTGTTGGGGCTTCTTCTCTTGCTCAAAGGGTCCAGGGACCGTGAGAAGTGTTCTCTGCTTCCGTATTGTTTGCCGAGACGCTGAACCCTTGGATCTTCTCAACACGGTACGGTACCGGACCGTAAGGCCGATCCACTGGCTTATCCTTGGATCTTTCGTCGCTTTCATCCATTGTGCCATCACAAAGCCACGAGCATCGCGGCTTTCTGGTCTCCTCACAGAATTCTCTCATCAAGTCAGTGTGCAACAAAGAAGAATGGAAAGCTGCTACCTCCTAGCTGACCCTCCACCTACCCACTGGTCGCGCAAGAATTTCCCAATCCTTGTCTGTAGCCCTCGAGTGGAACAAGTCCAACGATGCATCCAGGACAACAACTCGAGTAGTAATCTGTCAGCCCTCAAGGGAGTGGAAGTGTTGCTACTGATTGCAAGCTTTAGTGGGTTGGCAGTGCTGGAACCCTGTTCGTGTTGTCGGGGAGAACCATTCCGATACTGTGGGATGCAGTGCCGACATTTCCTTGTGGGTGATTCTCCCCAATTTCAACGACAACAAAACCCAAAGAAGAAAGATTATTCAACAACATTGGACATGAGCTTGTGTGCATTGGATACAGATGACTACATCTATTATTCCGAGCATGTCCCATTGCACCGAGATTGGCATTCCGGTTGGAAGTGGGAAGAAACGAGCCAGAAAACAATAATTGAAAAGGGTTTGACTGAAATTGGACGTTTACATCATAGTCGTGGAAGTAGTGATGGTATTGGATATCTCGCCTGTTCCTCCAAGGGATTCTATTCATCTTGGTTAGACATGGAGTGGAACGACATGCAGAACAATAACTGGCAAATCACATGCCGAAGAAGCCCCAAGAAAAGTGGCATGGTTCATTACTACCTCTATTTTTCCAAGACTCTTTTGGGTTCTCCCAGCAAGATCACAGAGATGCATACATCCGGCTGGTCAGGCCCACATCCGCATGGCCGGAAAGTTCCGGATGCCGAAATACAAGCATTTCTGGATCTCGAATTCAAAACTGTGTCTGTCAAGAGAGACACACACAGGTTCCGATTATGCCCGTCGGCATGTCTGTCCGTGGTGAAAGCTGTGTTGGCCCAGGGATTAAAAATAGGTGTTCAAGACATTCCCTGATGGAGTGCTTTGCTTTGTATACCACTGGACAAAATGGCTTGTTGCCCGTCTGTTAGGATTGCCTAAAGTGAGACTGGGGCTCTTTCTGCACCCTTGGCTGGGGTTTGTTTTATTTGACTAAACAGGCACACATGGTGTATCCCCACCAGAACACATCTTACAACCAGAGCACCAGAGATCTTGGAATGAATAATATTTATGTTATGCATACCAGTACGCACATGCACATGTACATATATATTGTACGTATATGGACTACTATGGGATTAGAAGGCTAGTAAGGTGTAGGATGGCTAAGTCACGCAAGTTTGGATGCGCTAATGGATCAACTGAAGTGTTGTGGTACTGTGGGGCTGTGGGTGAAACAAGCCAGTAAGGGATCTGTAGGCGTACTGTAGTTCCAGAGGAGTAAATGGTGGTGGAAGCAATGGAGATAGACCTGAGGAGATGGTTGCCGAGCTGAGTGGAGAGGTTGAGTGGAGGGGTGTAGTGTTTGTCAGTCAGGGGAAGGAGGGCATTTGGTGCAGATTGAAGCATTGTATAAGTGTGAAGGCTGTGTGAAGGAGGTTGTCTAGCCATTGTGGGGAGGGGGGCTGGAGGGGGTCAGAGGGAAGGTGCTTGTTGCCATTATTGAGATTTTGGAATGATGAATCAATCAGCCAAACCCTTTGCCCCCCGTAATGGTCCTCCATTTCTTGCCCCTGATCCCACAGAACCTAGTCCTGAATTTCGACTGTCCCGGCTGGCTTCTGTAGCTAATTTCCCTACTCTAAACCCCCTTATATCGAATTACATGTAGATAGATGAATTCAATCGAATCAATCCGAATAATCGAATCGAATCGAATCGAATCGAACTTCAATCAGAATTCTGTTCTGTGATGTCACCCATGAAAAATGACACTCGACTCGAAACTTTACAGGATTTTCCTATTTAAGGTGGTCGAACCCAGGATGTAAGCCAGCTTTAGTCTGCGAAAAATAGTGACGTTCGAAACATAAGATCTTTTGCATATGTACGGAATTTGGAATTTCGATGGGTGGTAATATTCTAAAACTCGCCGGATTCTTGGTTCGCGCTATTTCCTCTGTGAATTCTAGCTTCGCGCACCTCTGTGCATAAGTCTTTCGATTGTATGTAGCATGAATGAAATCCGTTAGAGCAGGCCGAGTCGTCATTTTGGAGCCAAATCTTCAACTCGTTGGACCCTGCACAACTCGTCAGAATGAAGAAGCTTCACTCAGCGCACATTAGTTAGCGGCAATTCAACATCTGCGTTTCGCCTGAAGATATCACTATGACAACTCCCACACAACGCACCAAATGGAAGCCATCAGCTAGCAGTGAAATAGCAAAGCTTAGTGCAAGTGGCACTGGTTGGAATAAGCTGGCTGGAGTAAACGAATGTGTTCCTAGCACTGGAAGGACGACTCGAAATGCCAACAGCGGTACCAACAAACATGGGAAGAGACTCCTGTTTCAGGACGATATTGTAGCAGACGAGGTTGCAACCGAAGGAGCAACTACAGCTGAAGAAGAAGAGGCTAGCACGAAGAGACGACGACAATGAACTCACCATCACTGAATTCAATACCAAAGCCGCAAGCCGCCTCCTTTTGGAGACGACTCAACTTGAAAAGCTAGTTGCCGATTTTGCCAAATGCCCTCATTGCGATTTTTACGACAAGCCAATGCCATTGATAATGAACGTGCACAACTGCGGCATTGTTTCACAAGTGCGACTGAGATGTGCGAACGAAGAATGTGATTACGTCTACGAATTACCAATTCCGGCAAAGACAACAATGCATACCGACGACAAGAAATACGAGAGAAGCACCGATTATCAGCTCAATCTATTATTCGTCCTTGGGAACCTTGCGAATGGTGACGGTGGAGTAGAAGCCGGCAAATTGCTTGGATTGATGGGGCTACCGAATGATACCACAATGGCGGGCAAAACGTTTCCCACCATAGAGCGAAGGATTGGCCATATCTTGCGCGAATTGAGGGACGAAATCCTGATGGAAAATCTGGACGAGGAAGTCAGACGATCAACCACGGAAGAACATTATTTGGCGTGGAAGATGTCAATCCCAGAGCAGCATAAGGACCATCCCGTCAAGATCAAATTGAAGGGATCGTACGACGGCGCTTGGCAGCAGAAAGGATCCGGCCTTCTCTACAATTCATCGTCTGGCCACGGTAGTTTGGTTGGTGCCATGACCCGAAAGGTTGTTGCGTTCGGTCAAAAGAGCAAGAAGTGCGGCACATGCGAACGGCATGAAAAGGATCACCCTGATGCCGATACTCGTCCTGATTATCCAGAGCACTATTGTCCCCGCAACCACGATCCAAACGATTCTTCTGGTGCCATGGAAGCGGCTTTGGCCTTGGAAATCGTGACTGATCTATACGACAATAAAGGCATTATTGTAGAGCTCCTTTGCTGCGACGACGACTCGTCCATTCGAGCTGATTTGAAGTGGTCAAACAAAGACTATCTTATCAACAACAACACTACCGTTCTACCGCAGGTTCCCAAGACGAAGGGAAAGAATAAGGGTGAGCTTCAAGACCGCCCCGACAAAGGGAAATTACCCGGCCATATTCCCGAGCCAAATTTTGTGCTGATCCCAACCACCGCCGCAAACAGTTGACCGGGGAACTCATTCGCTTGGATTTGGCCAAGGTTGCCGACAAGAAGACAATGACGAGGTTGGATTCCATTCGTCTTGGCAAGAATTACGGTTACATGGCCCGCACACTCAAAGACCGGGATGAATCCGAATTTGTTGACGTTGCTTGGGCCTGTTTGGAGCACCATTTTGATTCGCACGACAAATGCGGTGATTGGTGCGCTCGCTGCAAGGCAACGGAAGCTGAGCAACTTGCTAGCAAGAAGTACTACCGCGACAAGAAAGAAGATGCGGAACTGTACGAGCTGCTAAAGAAGAAAATGGGGCGCTACTGTGAACTTGAGCGACTGAGAGAGATTGCCCACGGCTTGGACACGAATGCAAACGAGTCATTCAACAGCGTCTGTACCTGGTTCGCACCCAAACAACAGTCTTTCCGGGTCCTGTTCGCTAGCCAACCGTCTTGCCTTGGCCATCGGCATCTCTCCTTGGATATATGGATTTTTCACCGTCTATTGTCAAGCTCGGCATTGACATGACTCCACACGTCCAGCATTACCTGACGTTCCGACAGGATGCTAGGCAGAAACGATTGGACCGGCTGAAGACTCCAGAGTACAAAAAATACCGGGCAGGAAAAGAAGAACGAGAGGATCCGTATTGAAACCATTGCCACGAAGAAGTCATGGGCGAAACGACACAAATGCTACCGCCGGGCATGAATTTGGATCTTCCGCAAGAGCAGCTTCCTGCTGAGGCGGCACGGATCGATGCCGAGAATGCCGCAAAACGGCCTGCAAAGAAGAGGAAAACGACAAAGACGACAACTAGCAAAGGAAAGTTTTGCCCGTTCTGCGGTAAGAAGGGGCATGTTTCGACCAAATCCAAGAGCTGCCTCAAGATAGGCGATTCCAAGGCTGAATTGCTGTTCGATAGGTTGACTGGGAAGCTACTATCAGAGCTGGCTGCCAGCACTCCAATTGCAGCTTCTATTCCAGGTGCTAGTGCTTCTAGCCAGGCAGCTAGCATCCCAGAAGCTGAAATTGAGGAGGAGGTAAGCACAGAGGAAACAGCTCAAGATTTGGCTAAAATGGTGGAGGATGGAACCAACGATTTGGCTGATTTGGAGTGCATTCCCTTCGATGCACTTGATGGAGACAATGAGGAAGACAATGTCGGAGCCCTTGATGATGACAGTGACAGTGATGCTGGCAGCAATGCCATCTAAAGTGAAATAGCTAGCTAGCTATCTTTGTTCGTAATGAAGCTTGTTGCCACGACGTACTCTAGAGTAGTTTGTCAACTGTTGATGCCGTACGGAGCTTCAACTTTCAACATACATGTCTAATAGATATGAACTCACATAATTGTTCGAAATTCTTGGCCGTTGTAAAAGGTTCAAAATTTGACACTCACAATTTCAAGCTGCACGGTGACTGGCTGGCGACTGGCTGGCGATCCATATAGTAAAATAGTACCGAAACACGGTTTTGTGCCTGTTCGCCGGATTTCGAATTCGGTCAACAAAAGAAAGCAGAATTCCTCCCGTTGCTGAGGAACAAGCAAAACTGCTATCAGGTCGAAAAATCGACTGTGTGTGTTAGAGACCTCATTCTCTTGGCGCCTGCTCAATATAAAGCCCTACAACCAAACGTTTATCTCTTCCTTATAGTGTAAGGAAGAGAGTAGTAGCTGGTTGCGGGGCCATAGCACCAGCGGGCAACAAGATTTATCGGCTAGAAGGCAGCGATCGAAAGTTTCGATTGCCTTCTGTCGCTCCAAGATAACAGAAAGGTGGACCGGAATAATGGCTGTTCTTCCGCCATACAATGCTCGATACTACTATTACACAGACGTCCTGCATTGATAGAGGTTGAATCGATGAACTATCCATCGATTACAGCTCACCTTTAGCAGCAGCTGGTGTTAGATCGATTGTTTGTTGTTTTACTAGATCTCTCGCGATGAAATTGGTGCGAATATTAACAGCTTAAAGCTGGCTTACATCCTGGGTTCGACCACCTTAACTCGTTTCACAAGGGGTATCCCAACATCTTGTCGCACCCTTAAGTGACTCGATGGTACTTAAGCTTGACGTTTGAATGTGGATACCGCAAACCGTGCACGAGGTGCGAACGGTCACATTTTCAACGAGCCAAGTGAAATTTTACATATTTGAGGTTTCCCTTTTCCTTTGCGCTTGGTTGTTTGTTGAGAAACACCCTTGGCTAGCTACCGTATAATAGCTAAAAGGCAACGATATTACAGTATTAGTACGACCATGGCGGATCATTCGTCACCTCATTCTTACGTGAGGAAACGAGGGGCGGAAAGGGCATATGGTCCCAAGCCATGGGTGGTCGATCCGTACAACGATCCCACCATGATGGGAGGAGCGGACTATGCCCAGTTCAAAGTACCGGTAGGCGACAACAATAGGCCACAATACGAGAACCATTCGCGGCAGTTTTCATCCAGATCGTTCAAACCGGATGATGAAATTGCCGCTGTTGCCGCGTCGATTGCTCAGCAAACAACGGCGATCGAGACAACAGACGCGACCAGAACTCCGCAAAAGACGAGAAAGAGTTACATTGGGTTGAAGGATAGTTGGCACAAACGCAAGGCCGCCATGGACAGTCATGGGTATTATAGTGACACTGCTGCAACTCTTTCCAGATTGAATGATGCAACAACTCACAGCAATCTTGCTAGTAGTAATCCAATGGAGTCGTCGTTTGCAAACGATAGCGGTCAGAACTTTGGACAAACCGTCATCGACGAACTCTTATTAAACAATCCCAGCGGTACTACCGGTATGCAACTACCACGACGACGACGACAAGCGGACCAAGACGAAGGAACTCCAGGAAGTGCTGGTAGTGCTATGTATCGTCCTCCAGGATCCTCGCCCATCTTTGATAACTGGATCGACTTGTCGAATTCCCAAGTGTGGGGACCCGGTTCACCCCGTCACCCTCGTCGACCATCCGTCCCGTCGCCGGCTCTGTCACCGTCGCGTCGATTAGCATCGCCTTCGGATCAGCTAAGACCCAACAACAATAATAATCACCGTCCGACCACCGAAAATCCATCGACACTGCAGCCCCACGAGATGACACCGTCTAGTAGTCCCGGTAATAATGACGATGATCACAAGGAAAACGTCGGAGGTCGAAGAGCCCCTTCATCACCAAGCAGTCCAAATAGCAGCAGTGCGGCACCGCAGTACTGGCAGCAACAAATGCGCGACTCGGATACTACTGTCAAGACTTCTCCATCACGAGGCAACGCCAACAAATCCCCTCCGCGAAAAGTACCTGTCCTTGGCATTGAGAAACTTGTGGCCATGACACAACAACGAAAGGATACTAGCGATGTCGATACAGGGTTTACGCCAATACATAAACCAAGCGCTAGCAAGAGTGGCAGCGCCAGCAATCATAGTCGAAGCAATCACACTCCAACAAGTCATCGGACAGCCTCCACATCCGCGACACCGCAACGGAGAGCCTCCACATCTGGGACACCACAACCGACACGATCCGACCGAAAGAAACTTGTAGAAGTCAACAAAGATCTTGACGGTAACAACAACAAAAGCAGGAGCAGCACCCATTCACGCAAGGGGCTTGGTCGCTCCTCCACGCATGATTCCGGTACTCCGGAAGGAAACACGCCCGTCGCCGTGCCGAAGCTCGACAAGGGAAAGCAACTACGGGAACTGGAACGACGATTAAGCTTGACCCAACACAACAACAGCAGCCACCACAATCCAAAACAGAGAGCCTCGACAGGGAGCATGAGAGCCTCGACAGGGAGCTTGTCACCCAAAAAACAACAAGAGGAAGGGAACAAGACTGGTAAACTTCCCTTTCGAATGCCAAAATTCCAAGGCTTCAATAAGAGAGCTTCCACGGGGTCTATTCCACTGGACAGTGAACAATACGACGAACTGGATGAGCTAGTAGCCAGCAAAAGTGGTGGCAAATTCAACCGAAGAGCATCCCTGAGCCCCATTACTGTTGACCCAGGTATGGATCAATCCAATCCTGATACAATGGATGGCGACGAGAGCGGAAGACGTGGAGAATTTCGTCGTAGCCAAGGAATACGAGGTTTCGAAATCGAAATAGACAAAACAATAATGGAGGAAAACGAAAACGATGACAAAACACCAGAGAACTCGAGAGACAAGGAAGACGGGGAAACGTCGCCAAAGTCTCCACGGCGAAAAAATCGAGTGACCTTTGAAGCTCCTGACAAAGGCGACAGAGGCCGGAAGGCCGCGAACGATGATTATGATGACGACGACTCTATTGGTTTGCCCGATGGGCGTGCTAGCAAAAATCGCGATGATAGCAGTAGATATCATGATTCATCATCGGGACATTTCGATGATAGCTTTTATGACGAAGGATCCGTAACGGAACGTCCTGGACGACGAGCAAGTATGTCATCACGAGCAAGTGCAACGTCGCGAGCAAGTGTAGCTTCACGAGCAAGCGTCAACTCGCAGCTATCTCCTTCACCCAAGTCCTTGAATAAATCAACCAAAAGCTTCGCCAAGAAAATTGCAGGGCAACCAGGAAGGCTAGCAAAGACGGTGGTGAGGCAGCCGGGGAAATTGGCAAGGGGGGCCACTAGACGGTTAAGGAAAGGGAAAAGACGCGGCGGCGATCCCGTTGCGGAATTGGACACCGGGGATCTTACGCAAGAAGAATACGATATGATCTGCACTACTCTCAACAAGAATTTTATCTTTCACGAGAAGTTCGAAGGAGCGCTTCACGCACTGGTCTTGGCGTTTGAGAAAATTGAGGTTCCGAGGGGGGAGGTTCTTATCCGGCAAGGTGAAGACGCTGAACAGTTCATTTACATCGTGTTGGAAGGGGAATGCTCGAATGCGGTAGATGGAGTGGAAATCCCAGGGCCATACGGAACATATGGTCCCAAAAGCCTCTTTGGGGAGCTAGGGATCTTGTACAATACGCACCACAAAGGTGCCACAGTTTCAGCAAAAAACGATGTCGTGCTCTTCCGTGCTACAGCAGAGGTGTTCTCCAGTGCGTTGAGTCTCATGCCAGATGGCGATGATAACAGAGATGAGGTAGACATGAAAGATATTGACAGAGCCATCGATCAATTGAGTGGAACAAAATCTTTGCACGGTGGGGAAATCATGCGGCAATACCAGCCAAATCGATTGTGGCTTTGGACCCAATGGCACGGGACTATTCTGGAGCAAAACTTGTTGCCAACCCTAATCGCCATGGGAGTCGCTGTGACGGTCGTTACACTAGTTAGATACTTTGGGGAGCCCACTTGGGCCATCGGACATAGACCCGATGAGGACCACCCAGTCATTCAACAACTCGCCATGGTGAATGGTGTTTGGATGTACACAATGACTTTGACAACCTTTATTCTTACATTTTATGTGAATCAAGCCTTTCTCTTCTGGCAAAGCACAAATACGTTGGTGAGGCAAATTCAAGGGAGATTGAGTGACTATATGCTTGCACTAGCAACGCATGCGGACAGGAACGATGATGGAAGCTTCACTGCTGAATCTGAAGCCATTATTGACGACATTGCTGCATCTTCTCGATTGTTTCATGCTCTTTTCTGGGCTAGCTGTGCGAGGCGCTTCTACTGCCTGGCTACTCCGGTGGGTATGGCAAGTATGGCTCAACGTGGAATGATGACACCCAAACAGTTGAAAATCTTGCAGTGTCTGGACACGCCCTACGGTACAAAACACGTTGCGTGTCTCGAATGGATGATGATTAGTGCATCTCAGGGCATTGAAGATAGCCACTTCCGAAACTCGTATGCCCTCAGCCGACAACTCTTGGATTTAACTTGCCAGCTTCGCTCTGTCAGTGTCCAAGTGACTGATAGTCTCAAATCTGGACGTCCGCCTTTGTCCTATACACATCTCGTTCAGATCCTGATTGACAGCTTTATTTGGACCTCACCAGCGGCGCTCTACGCTGAACTTGGAATTTACTCTATTCCCTGCGTTGGCGTGATCACATTATTTTACGGTGGCTTGCTGAACATGGCCAAGATCTTTCTTGATCCTTTGGGCAACCAACACTTTACTAAATCTTCTGTCAACATGGGCATGGACCTGGGTGTTTTGACCAGAGAATCAAATGGAAGCACAAGTCTATTCAAAGAGCACGGAGCAATTGTTCCTTTCTAGAGCTGTGGCCTCAGTGGCTACCGCTCTTGTCCACTGTCCACTTATTTCTACATTCATAATGCATGTCTTTCAGCCGATGGTTCATCTAGAATCAAATCTTCATAACTTTAAAAATAGAGAATTACTTACACAGCTCATCGCAGCACTCTTGCACTGTGGGTTAGCTACCGTGCCTGACTGGGTCCAATGTATGTAACAAACAGAAACTGGACTTCTAACAATGACTACAATATGCTATACTGAAAAGCACTCCACGCTCCAGTCAGGAGGAAGGCTGAGACGTACCCAATCCAAAAGGGGCACTTAGATCTAGTCCATCCATCCATTGGACAACGACTGTTGGCTATTCACAAGATGGAACCTACAACTTCCACAACGAGGAAGCACTTGATCCAGCTGCTACATTGGCTGTCAACTCATTCTGAATCATTATTACTTAGTTAGCAGTTTCGTTACACTCTCATAGATCTCTCTCACACTTATTACGGTACTTGCTCATTTTCTACCATGTCTGCTTGGGTCTTTCCTCGACCACAACCATTAGACTAGCAAATCTAGCTAGGCTTTCTTGCTGTCCACCCAAGCCTTGACAGCGGGGATCTCTCCAAATGCCAAGTACATTTTCCACAACTCAGGGTAGGATTTTTCCAAATCATCGGCAGCAATCAATCCAGTAATGATATTGTCACGCAACAATCCATACAAAGCAGCATCGGCCCAAAGTGGTGTGTTGTTGTTGGACTTGCTGACACTCAAATAAGTATCATGAGTCTTGTACTTGGCATACAAGGCATTGAACATGGTCAAAAACTTGGGGGCATCTTCACTCTTGTACTTGGCCTTTTCTTCATCAGTGCCTGAAAATGCCGTGTGAACCCAGGCATCGCGGAAGCTCTGATACTCATCGGCCACCAAATCTTGAACATATTCTTCATATGCAGTATTGTCCTTGGTGACGCCATGGATATGCGCCAAGAATCGAGAGGCAGCAATGTGTTGAATCAAGTGGGCATCCTTGCCATCCTTGTCTTTGGTGTACAAGATTGGTGCCGAGCCACATGGATTTTCATTGGAAGAGACCACACGCGCCTTTTCGGTGGCTCCCCATTCGGACATTTCCACCAAGTTTTCTTCAAAGGGAATGTTGTTAGCCAACAAGAAGAAGCGCTGAACTCCACCACGTCCACCCAGTCCATGGGGCAAGGCGAGGTACTTGAAGGTGACGGGAGAAGAAGAATCGATGGACATGGTTGCGGATGTTTTAGTAGACTGAAGTCTGGATAAAAGTAGTTTGCTTTTGTGTTGTAGCAGCTTGTTTGGGAACTGGTGTTTTGGATTTGTGAGAGCAAAACAAAACGAGATACCGAAGTGAAAGAGACGAATCATTCCTCCTTGTTCATGGGCGTGGGAAATGTTGTGCTTTGGATCGAAGTGGTGATGTGGTGATCCAAGAGCTCCTCCTTGTTCATGGGCGTGGGAAATGTTGTACTTTGGATCGACGAGGTGATGTGGTGATCGAAGATCGAAGAGCTTCCCTCGGAGATTGTGGTCAGGTTTGGATCTAAAGATCGCAGGAAGTGTGGCCTCCAACTTCGCCTCGCTCGAACATTATCCTTAACCTCAAACTGATGGCTGAGTCTTGGATTGTCACGTGGAAGTTTTCTCGGTTCTCGGTTGTTCTACACTCCCGACAATTGTGAAGCGATAATAAGCAGACCGTCGAACGACGATGACGGCCTCTACCAGTATAGACACACCCACGAGAAACACCATGACAGCAACCATACCGAATCGAAGGCGGACAAGAAGGGGTTGTTCCACAAAGACTATCCTGTTCAAAGCGACACTGTATGGCTGCGCCTTGATGTCGTTGGTTGCCCATGGCGAACCGCAGGCGTTGATCAGGTCACCGTGGAATGTGGAACCGTGGAATTTGCTACCCTTTGCATTCCATACTACAGCCCAAAATCAACGAGAGAGTGTTGTTTCATTCCATAACGACTGGAAGCATCACCAACAGCAGCAGCAATATGACCCAAGTCACGATGCTTTTCGTGATAGTGTTTCCTCATTGTTCGGGCCTTTCCCTGAAGGAGCACCTTCCTTTGGGTTTCCCGATGCAATTTTTCACGCTTTATCAGATGACGGCTTGTTGTCTCTTGAACTGTCAGTTCTTTCTGATCTGAACGACTATGGTGGCAGCTCCGAAGCTTGGACTTTCGTCAATTGCGAATTGGAATGGGGCGACGAGCAAACTATTTGGACGGATGAAAGCACTGGCCATGTGCTGCCAGACCCAACCGATGTACCGATAGTAGAAACAAGTCATCTCGAGCAACTGGTTCATGGCATGGAACCAATCAAGCTCTTTCATTTTGACCTTCCCTCGGATGAATTGCCTCCATCACACGCAGAGGAGCCTCCTTCCTTTCTGCCTCTGTGGTTTGAGGATTACTGGCAGTACGACTCTCACTCCTGTGATTCCTCCCTGCCAGAGTTTTTGCCATTTACGCCATTTCCAACCATGTTCCCTTATTTCGAATCCTGCGGCGGGAGCGTTTACTACGGAGGACACAATAGTACCACTACCGCGAGAAGCTCTTCTTCTACGATTGCCTCCGAAGAGGAGCTTGACGACGACAGCCTTTCTGTGGATACCGACGGCAACGAAGGTTGAGAGTTTTGCGTGTTGCCTTGTTGTGTTCCATTGCATGAAGTCCAGTGCAACGAAGGTTGGCTCTCAGGTATTGATTGGGCCGCCTATTACACACGCTCGAACGGCGTCTGTTTTGGAGCTGATCTGGGACGTGCACTGGCGACGTGCAATTGGACTTCAATTACACAACTGCAGAGGTAGCCATTTTTGTGAGAGGGCTTTTTGCTTGGTTGGGGCGAATATATATCACAAGCTCGAGCATCGTCTGCGTTGGCGCTGATCTGGAACGTGCAATTGAACTGCTATTACACAACGAACAGATGAAGCACATTCTTATTCCCCGTCGACTGTGATTTGTTCTTCAGTTGACAGAACGGTTGGTGGGTGCTTGTTGTGCCATCTTTTGTTTGTCCGCATGGCTGTGCGCCTAATTGAGACAAGGCTAGTGTTAAATAGAGACATGTCTACTACCGGTAGCAACGCTATACTTTAGTCATCATCTTCTGGAAAGCCCATGATGGCTCTTGCCCACCGCAGAACTGCTCTACACCCAGACAATTTGGCTGCGCTGATTATCCCAGAGTCGCACGGGCAGCCGTTTTCATGGGCATACTTCAGAATTTCCAAGTGGCCACCAGAAGCGGCAGCCCAAGCGATGTCTGTATCCCAAGGACAGTCGTTTTCGTGGGCATACCTCAGAATATCCAGATTTCCACGTTCGGCGGCAAGAAAGCAAGTGTGTTCATTCCATGGACAGCCATTTTCATGGGCATACTTTAGAACTAACAATTCGCCGTTGGAAGCAGCCGCCCAAGCTGTGGCGTTATCCCAAGGACATCCGTTTTCATGGGCATACTTCAGAATATCCAGGTGTCCACGATCGGCAGCGGCAGAGCATGTCCATTCATCCCACGGACAGCCATTTTCATGGGCATACTTGAGTGTCTCCATGTGCCCACCGTGAGCAGCACCCAAAGTTGTGGTGTCATCCCAAGGACATCCGTTTTCATGGGCATACTTTAGACTTTCCAAATGTCCATTTTCGGCAGCCTCCGTGCATGTCCGTTGATGCCAAGGACAGCCATTCTCATGGGCATACTTTAGAATCTTCAAATGTCCTTTTCTGGCAGCCACTTCATATACCTGCTCATTCCAAGGACAGTTAGTTTCGTTGGCATATTCCAAGATATCCAAATGTCCATGCTTGGCAGCCTCAATGCATGTCTGTTGGCACACTGGAAATCCGTGGGAAAGAGCCCACTGAAGAACTAGCACACTTCCAACCTTGGCAATTTCTTGGCAGACCTCCTGGCGCAACGGGCTTTTGAGCCAGGAATCATCAGCATGCCACAACTCTGCACACGCCACGCTGTAGAAGGTGGCACTATGAATTGTGTCAGTCCAGGTAGCAGCAATTCTCCGGGTGCCTTCCTTGATGTGAGGAGGATTCTGTTCATTCTCACAATACTTCCTGTAAAGTCGATGCAGCTGCTTGTTGACAGTTCCAAGGAATGCATAGTGCCCCACGCCCACAAACGGCAAGATATGCTGAATCCAAAGATCCCCCTGTTCCAACATTTTGTCGATTGCCTCCTTCTCATTCACAGTGGACTCAACATTGCTTTCGGGGCCTCCATGCCTCACATGCTTCTTCTTTTCAGCGCAAGACATTTCGGGGTGCAAAAGGGCAACAAGTCTGATGAAGCTTTCTGATGAAGCAGATTGATTGTCAGCATTGTGTGCAGCAGCTGTCACGCAGCATTTGTGAAACAGGCTGACCACCCCACACCCCTGCTGCCATTGTGTCATTGTGTCATTGTGTCATTGTGTCGTGTTTTGGTTTTGGGGGTTCCTTTCGTGCATGTCTGAAAGATCTTGTGACGTAGCATAAACGAATAAATGAATCCTTGGGATTCACGAACGATCATTTTTTCGCGCCTTTTTCATCGCCTCAGCCATCATTTTTTTGTCATTTGCCGAAGGCCCAGCGCATCCATAAATTCTGTTGCCTCTTGTTGTGATTGAGATTGGATAGCTACGCTGTGTGATCTTCCCTCGACAGATACGACGTAGCTGGCTAGAGAGAAGAAAGCTTTGACAGCTGACGAGTTTGGTTTATGATAGTTAGATTGAAGAAATCGAATCGATTCACCCGTGACAAGGCAGTTGGTCCATCCTTTGGAATTTCACCAACGGAACCTCTCCAGAAAACCTCAGCTGGAGGACAACGACTATTTTCCAGCTACGCGATCATCAAGCAAGAGAGTTCATAATCCAAAGAAACAGTCAGTTCTAAAGAGCCGACTTGCCAGCAACTGCTCACTCTTGTTGGCCAGTCAGTGATAGCCAACATCTATCCATCATGAATAATTCCTCCAAAGCCAAGGGCACCAATGCTTTTGACGACGACGAGAATGTCAGCCCCAATCCGCGTCGTCGCACTTCTGGTAGCAAGCGTCCCAGTCCCAGGTCCGGTGATAGCAGCAGCAGCAGTGAAGATGACGGTGATCATCAGCCGTTGACCGAAAACCGCAAGAATCGTCGGAGCAGCAAGAAACACAAACAATCCACAACAACACCCAAAAAGAAGAATAAGAAGAAAACCAGCAGCGGCGCCAACCACAAAACACCCAGCAAAAAACACACACATGCCATTCCGCATGATGAAGCCTTGGTGATGCCCATACCAGCCCCCAGCCGGGCCGAAAAGCGCGCCATTTTGCAACAAATTACTTCGTGCCAAGAGGATCGCAATCTACAGGTGGTGCTGTGGGAAATTGATTGCAACTACACATTGCTGGAACATCAATTCAAGGGAGTGCGGGCATTGGCCGGAGTACCCGATGGATTTCCGGGAAAGCTTCTCGTCAAAACCAAGACGGAAACGGAAGACGAGGCCATTTTTTATTGGACCGTCAAGGTCCTACGGAATGCCCAGCCACGGCGTCAGGGAATGGACCGGGGTATTCTCATGGCGGATGTCATGGGTAAGAAAGACATGACATGGTATTATTGTCGTCAGCAATAATAACGAGTTCTGCAATGACCATCATTGTCATCTCAATCATCACTTACTTTTCGTTTGCTTTGTTTATTGCTGATAGGCCTTGGCAAGACGGTGCAAGCCGTTGCTGCTTGCATGCTGCGAAATGCCATTTCCATGGCCAAGGATGAGAGCCCTTTGCCGACTCTGATTGTTTCGCCCAATGATGCCGTCTTGACTCAGTGGCATGAGACTTTGATCAAGGCCGGCGTCCTGGCGGATGACATTTATCGCTTTGCCGCCAAAGACTTGACTGCCGTCCGAAAAGACAACATTTATCTGCTCTGCAATCGATACGATCTACAAACAGAAATGAGACATGTCTTTTCTCAAACCAAGGAAGGATCCCGAAAGGCCGAGACTATGCTCTTTCCCCATGCGCCCCGGCAGCTCATGTTGATTCTCAAGAACCAGTACGATTGTAATCAAGGACGGAATGTGAAGAATCTGTTCAAGCCAAGAGACGACAAGGAACGCATGAATCCCAGCAAAATTGTCACGCAATGCTTGCACAACAACATACCAGAGGTGGAACCCATCTACCGGTCTGTGGTCATTGATGAAGCGGTAAGTCAAGTCGAGGAAGTTCCATTGTGTCATGAACGATCCAAGCCAAAAGACTGATGTATGTCTTTTTGCCATTGTCGCCAATTGTAGCACTTTCTCAAGTCCATCTTGACTTACTGGGGCATTGGTGCTGGTTTACTGGGGCTTCACTCGGAGCGCATGATCCCAATGAGTGGGACACCCTACAACAACTCGGTGCAGGACATGGCCAGCATTATGACGATGATTAATCCATCGTTGGAAAGTGCCTACGAAGATTGGTGGAAGGAAGCTACTAAAGATAGTGCCGCGGCGAAGTCAGTGCTGGATGCTATTTCAGAATGGACCTCCAACTTTGTGATTCGCAGGTGCGTGCAGGAAACGTGTGGTCACACCCGACACATCATGATGGCAGCATGCCGCTTACATATTGCCTTTTCCTGCCTGCACCTCCAGGGATAAAAGTGTCATTGCGAGCAAATTGCCTAAAAAAGTCATTCAAGTCAAGCAAGTTGCGCCCTATCCCTTGGAGCTCACAGTGTACGTCCTGTCTATTTGTTCTTCTGTGTCATGGTCTCCAAGTTTTTACAAGCCTTCTCACTAGACTATGGTACTACCTCCCTTGTCCTTACGTCTAGGTATGACTCGTACGAGGGCCTCTTCATGAAAGTCCTCTCGGATTTCAGAAAGGCAGAGCGCGGGCCACTTACGCCCTTCAAGCGTAGGCGATTGAGAGAACTGATGACAATTATGATGGCACTCGCTTCTTGCATGGTACGGACAGTCAAGTCAGGGTGCGCTCACTTCCAGTTCCCGATACCGATCTAGTTGCGGGGTTGCTGACTTCTTTCTTGCTCTTCGTCGCCTTTACAGCGACTAGCGTTGATTCATCCAGTTTTGCCCAAGCGTGGCCGTGACTGTACGGTGTTCTTCTCCCCAACGCGACGCAAGATGCCTCACGTGATCAAGAATCAAGTGAGCCCGGATCGCTGCGTTTGTTGCCCTCGAAAGCTCAAGAAGAAGAAGAAGAAGGAGGAGGAGAAGAAGAAGAAGAACGATGTTCTTGACACTCTCGACGATGAAGGCATCAACGGGGAAGACGATGATTTTGATGACTTGGCCGATTTCATTGTTGCTGACGATCACGAGAGCGAAGAGGAGAAGGATGGTGATGCCGACAGCCTCATGCATGACAGCGAGGCTGAAGAAGATTTCCGCAGTTCAAAGCGTGGTCACCCAAAGCGTCTGCAGGGGAGTGGCGACATTGTGGAGATCCCCGATCACATGTGTGAGCTCGCTTCGATGGGGATTCAACATTATGCCTGCGAGACTTGTCTAGAGGCTTTAGAGGAATCGGGTGCTTGCTGCCCTCAGTGTAGGTGCTCTCTTGTTCTGTTATGAGATTGATTTGGTTTGCAACTCACCGGGCGTTACGTGCTGTTTGTTTGCTTTTCCGTTCAGGCGCCTCCCTTCGTGAACGCCTCAAACTCGACAGTGGCCGCAATGAATTGCTCAAGAAGAAAGCCGAATCCGCGAAACAGAGCGGAGTGTCGCCAAAGGAAGTGTCGATCGAAGACTTCGATATCCCTCGCAAGGTCTATTGTGCCGACATACTCGGTGGCTTCAAAGCCTCAGCCAAGTTGGAATCTATCGTCGAAGACCTCAAGGCCATCCCGAAGGATGAGAAGGTCCTCATTGTGTCTTTCTTCAAGGGAAGTTTGGACTTGCTAGAGGCGATCTTTTTCGAGCTTCAGGTGGAAGTGGCTCGATTTGATGGTGACATTCCAAACGAAGATCGGGAAGAGGAACTTCGAAGGTTCAAGAACCGCGATTCGTGTCGGGTTCTGGTGAGTGCAGGACCACTCATCAAGATGTCACCATTTTATGGCATCATCCCGCTCACACATACGCTTTCCTGAATCTATATTGTAGCTAATGACTGTGCAGACTGGAGGAACTGGCCTCAATCTTGTAAGTGCCAAACATTGAAATCAAGTGCTATGTTGCCACTCGCCAAATGCTAACAGCTCTCGTTCGACTCCAGGTTTGTGCAAACCATGTCTGGTAAGTCTAACAATCTCACCGGCCTGTTGTGACAGCATCATGTTGGTGCTGCTGCTCACAGATATCTTCTCTCTCCATCCCCTACTAGGTTCTTGGATCGCTTTTGGAATCCTATGGTAATGTAAGTGGCTAAGTAGGTGTCGTGAACAGTCGTGCAACTTCTTGTGTGCCATTCTCATCTTTCTGGTTGGATCTTTGTCATCGTCATCACAGGGAGCAGGCCGAAGACCGCTGCTACAGACTTGGGCAAAATAAAGACGTGGATGTCACATACTACGACGTGTCCTTCACCATCGACGTCGTAATGAGGAAGATCAACGAGGATAAATCAAATAATGCGGCAATCCTCTTGGCGGATGGTTCGAAGCTGTCTACGTCAACGGCTGGGTTGTCATTCAAAGATATCTCTGGTTGCCTCGGGAACTCAATTCGTGCAGTGCAGCTAGCACGAGTTTCCTTTGTGCAGGGTGGGCTGGACCGGATGCTGGAGCCTCTTCGAGCACCTGACAGAGACATTTTGGAAAATGTGACACGAGACCCTGGTGGCCGTGCCTATCAGCGACAAGCAATGTCGATGATGGAAGCCATGGCGGCAATGCTGGGGTATACTCCAGCCCCTATTTCACCCACCAGGATGACAATCCGCGGGTCTCAGAGTGGAGCGTTGCCGCTGGAATCTGGCCAGGACAAGGACAGAAAGCCTTCTGCCGTCAGTTCGGCAAGCCTGACGACGGGAGATATCAAGCCCACACCTATGGAAGTTGAAAGTTCGGGAACTGGAGATGAGGATCGCAAGCCGTCGCCACCAGAGGCTGTCAGCTCTTCTGTGACACTGGGAGACCGAAAGCCCTCACCCATGGAAATCGAGAGCGTCAACGAGGATGCTAAACCCAAGACTTCTTCAAAAGCGAAGAGTGCCGTGAAGAAAGAAGAGACAACGCTGCCGGATTCGAATGATTCGGATGATGACGATGACGACATTCCAGATGCAGTCAATTTCAAATCCAAGTCCAACAAGTAGGGAGAAGAACCGAAACAACAGAGCTGGTAGCGGTGGATCAGGAACTGCCAACCAACCAACGAATGGGGACACCATCCGAATAATACGTAGGGGCGATTCAATAGTGTGATGGCCTAATTCGTAACAGTCATTTTCGTTTGCATATGCGTTTTACTACGATACTGTATCGGTACCATACCGGTACGTAGTTTGGGTGGTGGTTCGTCTCGCAAAACCAGAGCAAGCAACACAGCGATCGAGCTGTGGACTCTCACTCGACTTCGTGTTGTGAGGGAGGATTGATTGATCTACTCTGGTGACCATCAAGTTTGCTACATCATGCGCTTGCTGTGGTCACACATTGTCACATGTCCTTGCCAGTTTCAGAATCGAAACGTGTCGGATGGTAACCCCCCCTACCGGTACCGGTACGGTGTCTGTTTCAATCGAATCGTGCGCGTTTATTGGTCAATCCTGCACCGCCTCCATCTTCTTCCTGCCCCCCTTTCTCTCCTCATAAACACATCATTTGGTGCTTCACACGAAGGACCATACACGCATAAACAAACAAGAATAAAAGGCGCTCGAAAGCAGTAGAGGAGAAGAGAACAAGGATGTTTTTCGTTGACCGGCCCCAAAGCATTCCACGACCGGACATCGGCTCACAACTCGATGCACTGAACGTCGATTGGGAGGTTCTCTCCAGCGTCGGATCCGTGATTTCCGTGGGAACAGAAGGCATAACGTATGCCGGTGTGGTCAAGTTAGGTGATGTATGCCAAACCGAACGGATCCATCAGGGTGCTCCTGGTCGTCCGTCAACCAAGCCGAAGAAACCCCGCAAAGCGAAGGCAGCGGAGGAGGACGGGCTGAACACCGACGAATATGACGCCTTCTTCGTCATGGAAGGGGTCAAGGGTGCCCGTGGAGGGCGGACGAGCTTGATGTTCAAGGGAAACCCCAAAACGCAGAAGCCCCGAAAAAAGGAACGCAAACATAGATAAAGATATCTAATCCGAGTATGTTTGCAACATGTACACGTAATCTGATATGGAACATTTTACAAGACTATAGGTTTACATGGGGCATCTGTTGCGTGCGTGTGGACGCAAACAAGTTGATACAAAATGCATTGGGATCTGGCTACAGGAGACCACAGCGGCACCAGTCACAGCCACAAAGGAGGCCACCACAGTCAAAGTCAAGGCCAAAGGGATCTTTTGTTGTGGTGTTGTATTGACCCAAAGAACACAGCTCTCCGGGCACAACCCCTGAGAGAGGATTTCCACTCAGAGTCAAAAGCTCCAAGCTACCATTTGATGCCAACTTGGACAGCTCAACAGGGATAGATCCAGAAAGTTGATTTCCATGCAGCTGCAATGCAGTCATGCTGGTCAGAAGAGCTAGTTCGCTCGGCAGAGCCCCTGAGAAAAAGTTATCATAGGCTTCCACGTCTTCGATCTTCCTGAAGGCTCCAATCTCAGATGGCAAGGGTCCACTGAACAAATTATTTTGTAGCTTCAGCTTCAGCATGTTTGTCATCTGCCAGAAGTCTATTGGAATAAATGAAAGTTGGTTGTCTTGCATAGTATTCACCAGCAATCCACATTCAGAGGGAATTGGGCCAGCGAGGGATGCTGCAGCGAGAAAGATGTCTTCCGTGTTTGAGAGCATTCCAATCTCTGTTGGAATGGTTCCTTGAAGATTGTTGTCACCAAGGTTTAGCCTGGAAAGCCTAGTCAGGATCCCAACTTCACTGGGAATGGCACCCGAGAACTTATTCTTCTGTATCCTCAGATCAGTTAATCCGGTCAGCAAACTCAGCTCAACCGGAATGGTTCCAGTGAACTTATTTTTTACAAGAGTAAGCTCTGTCAAACTTGACATCTGGAACAGTTCACTTGGCAGGGATCCTGATAATTTGTTCTGGTTGATGCTCAAGTCCATCAGACTATTCATCATTCCATACTCACTGGGGATGGGTCCTTTGATGTTCTTGTTTCGGTGAAACCTGATTGTGGTGAGGTTTGTTAGAGACCCCAACACAGCGGGGAGAGTTCCAGACAGAGAGCAGTCATCCAGTAGGAGTTCCTGCAAAGTTGTCAGCATGGCCAACTCACTTGGAACTTGTCCACTCATCATTTCATTGTTGTTGAGAGCAAGAAAAGTAAGATTTGGCATTTGGTAGATGGGTGGAGGAACCCAGTTGGCTAAGGTAGCATTGATTCCATTTCGGCGCAGCGCAAGATATGACAATGACGGCAACAGTTCAATTTCCAGCGGAATGTATGGTTGGAAGCCAGAGAGCTCCAAATCATCAAGGATGAGAGTTTGGATTCTGCCTTGGTCGTTGCAAGGGTCTACATCATTTTGTAATTCTGCATCGTAGTTTGGTCCATCATCACTAAATTTTCCATAGGCACTGGAGAACCAGTAGCACTCTGATGTGTCATAGAGCATCCACCTGTTTCGAATCACTTCACGCCAATTCGGACCCTCAAATGCATAGAAGAAGGTTGCCAAGGCAAAGAGTTGAATCTGTCTCCACTCTGGCATGTCAGGCAAATCAGGATGCACTGAGATCCAATCCATGGCTTGCCACTGGGGAGTTGAAATGTCATCCAATTTCTGAAGCGTTGAGTCTGGAAGATCTTGTAGCAGTGCATCGAGTGTTCCTGTTGGGGCACTAGATGGAGTGCCTGTTGGCAGTATTGATGGAGCAACAGTTGGTGAAACTATAATGAGATCTTCTTCGCTCTTTCTAAGAAGAAGTCCAAGTACGAGTCCAAGAGTCAAGCAAGCCAATACAAAAATGGCAAAGCCAAGGAGTTGTTGGTTCCATTCCTGCTTGTGCTGCAGTTGCTTGGACTCTCGTTTCTCCAATTCTCCGTGGTCAACCATCTCTGCTCGGGGTATATCAGCGGCATTAAAGTGCTCACTTTGTACAGGTTTGGCCCGAGCCAACCCCTCACTTGCTTCCAGGTCAGCCAAGCTATTATTCATTGTCTGGACAGCTCCAGTAATATCCCATGGTGCGCCGGAACTTATATCTTGGTGTGAGGATTCTTCATTGGCTTGTTCTGATTCCAGTTGGGATGGCGATACCATTGCTAGCCCTCTAACATCATAGGCACCAGGATGCGCAAACTGGTTTGTTGCCTGAGGTAGTGGGTGAACAGAAGAACGCACTTCTTCATCGTTCTGTGGAATTGCGGGGCACCTATTCATTTCCTGTATCATCCCCACTTCTCTATCAATGAATTTTGAGTCCACAGCAGTGCCAAAATTACTTCCGACCAATCGTTGAACCTTTCCTATTCTGACCTTTTCCGGAGGAATCACTGTAATAGTTTGAGTTCCGTAGGTGCACTCATCAGCACTTTTCGGGACGGCCCCTGCTGTTCCACTACTAGCACTGTTCAAGCTGCTGGGGACATTCTCAGAGTCCTGGCAAACTTTGCTTTCTTTGTTCATGGTATTGGATCGAGATTGTAGATACCACTGTATAAAGTGTATTACTTTAGAAGCTGTTGTGGGAGGAGCCAGGAGCCGAGTCGAATCTCGCTGGTCGAAAACTAACTTGTTAGCGGCGGAGGTGGTGTGCCTTCGCCGTCTTTTCAGCAAAATATTGCCCTCAACTACCAGCTAGCTAGCTAGCTACCTAGCAAGCTGAGGGCCTTTTAATTAAACTTTATCTTGTGTGTGTGTGTGTCGCGTACATATGGTGCGGTTTCCCTTGCAAGGTTAAGGCTAGCGATCAAACCAGATACATATGGTGCGGTTTCCCTTGCAAGGTTAAGGCTAGTGAACACTTCCTTGGCCTTTAGAAAAATGCAAGTTGAGGGCATAAGGCTCCGAATGGCTGTCCTTTTGAAGTTGCAAAAAGTAAATCACGAGTGGGTTCGAGATAAAGTAAATTTGTTTTCGTCAGCGCTCCACAGTGAGGGAAATTAGTTCAGTCGTGCAGTCGCGTTGACGCCCTCTTTCATCTCAAACCGCTTCTTTGGGTTGTATCGTTGGACAGTATCATGTCATGGTTGTCCTACCGTATGGCACGGGAAAGCTGCCTCGATCTAATACTACTAGCTAGTATCACGAAAGGAGATTAGGTGCCACTGCTGCTCCACTTGAACCTTGCCTTGGTGGGCTTCTTCAGTGATGGCGGAACGCGAAGAAAATGACAAGGCCTTTCAGGAGGACAAAGATACCCCTCCGTTGATTCGAGATCCACAACGCGTCCCGAAATTGTTTCCAAGTGCCACCAAACGGCTGTTTCCTTCTGATTCTTCCTCAACAGAAGCATTCAGACAGAGACACTCGACACAGAATCTTGTTGCTTGTGAGACAGCACGCCAAGGGACAAATAATGTGGGGAAAGATATCTCCATGGTGGATTCTTTGGGAGACCCCAAGAGATCTGTCGATCAGGCATCATGGGCTCTGGAGAACAAGCAGCTGGGCGAGGAGGATGAGGACTTTGTCTGTGAAGAGAGTGCCGGTACGGAGGAATTGGTGCATCAGAAAGCCATAAGCCAGAGGCGATCAATGCATGACTCAGAAAGGCCCAACAAAAGGCACAAGTTTATGAAATGTTCCCAGGTATCCGGGCAACTTCATCACGAAACAGAAGGTTACCCACTGCAAGAACCCTCGCAACAACCCAATATTAAACGTCGATTCAGTGAAGCGCTGGATGATGGAGAACTCCTTGTTTCAGCGTTTGACGACCAATACGCCACGAAGATTGGAGGGCTGACAAGGAAGAAACAACCACTCCTTCCGTCGCATGACGCTACTACCGGTATCCCCCGACAGGTCCAAGTCGTAGCGGCCAGACCCCGAGGAAAGAACATTTCGGCAGTGGCCAGGGCCATGGCCCGTTCCTCCCCTGTTCTGGCTTTGTATCCAACCCATCAGGATACCAAAATGGCTCCTCGAAGCGAAGTGCGCGGAAAGGACTTCTCCGCTATGGCGACATCATTACGACCCAAGTCTCCGCCTCGCGATATTGAAATTGACGCCAATGCCATGTCAACGCCAACGTCGCCAACACGACCACTGCTGCCAATAGTTGTATCGGCGGATTCTGCGAAACGTAATGTCATGAGACAAGGCATCTGGAGCGATGACGACGACGACGACGATGACTTTGAACCATTATCCATCCACTTCGAGCCATTCACCCCCCTCCCCACCTTGTTTCCCTACCAAGAGTACCTGGGGTTTAGTGACTATGGTGGGAACAGTCGCAGTGTTGCCAGTGCTTCTACCTTTGCCACCATGTCCTCCTTTCCAACAATTGAAAAGGACATTCCGGTGTTTGATCACTTGGCCGATGATCTCAAACTGGCAGCCAACCAAGCATCCACGGATCACTACCACCACAAAAATTCTAGCAGGCAGAGTGCCTCCGACATGTCCGTGGCGGCACGTAGCAAGAATGATACATCGACGATCCATTCGGGGGAGATGTCGTGTAGCCTCCAATCCAAGGAACGTAGCCTGGCATCCATGAAAGTTGACCTTCCTCTTCCGCCAGAGTCCAACGCAAGGTTGCCCCTTGATCAAAGATGAAAGCCACTACCCCAAAATTAGTTGGATGAATATTATGACCCGACCAGCACGAATAGTTTCTCAGGTGGCGGTCGGTTTGCCAAGTCCATCTCCCAGCAAAAAATCAGAGATGCCTAATCCACAACCAGGGATACCCTACCGGTACTCCTGTACCGGCGCAACAAACAGGGCCCAGCATACTGATCTACTAGTAGAGAGCTGGCTAGCAAGGGCCTCTTGGCAGCCATCCGCAGCTCAAAGCCAAAAGAAGGGTCCAGGACCAGACTACAGCTGTACTCCGGTCTCCGGTGCTGAAACATGAAAAGAGCCAACAAAGCTTTAACAAACGGTACTCTGGCCTCTAAACCCCGTAGTCTAAGAAAGCTTTAACAATTATAAATCCGAAACTGAGCCCGACAGTCCAGCCACTAAGAGCGCGTCCGAACTACTTTCGGGCAGGCCCTTCATGTACCCAAAAATAGTCCATTTCGGCAATGCCAGGATGACTGCTTGGCCCAAAAACGCCTACCCCCTCCAAACTACTAGTGGATTGTGGAATGAATTTCAGCCCGGTAATCACATATCATTAACCCAAAATAGGAAATGAAAATGTTGCCAACGCAGGTTGAAGGAAGAATAGTAAGAGGTAGAACAAAAGATCTTCGGCAGTGGTGTTGCTGCTGTGGCTAGAACATAAATTCTTACCTTTCGAAGATGAAGTTGTATTGGTGGCTCTTCCTTATCTCCCTTGTCCCCAAAGGGGAGACAGTTGAAAATGGTTCCGTACTTCACAAGCTGAAGATTGCTGGTCTGATTTCGTCCATTCTAGTGGCTTCCTTGCCAGAGGAATTGGAAGTGGAACAGCAACCAGAACTTGAAGATATCGGAAGCAAGGATGATCTCCACCACAAGTGTCCACCACCCCACATTGGACGTGAAAGGAAGTATGTGGGAGACATCTTCAAAGAGCAAGGACCGTACTATATGAAGAGGGGGTACCGAATGTCCGAAGACTCTTTCTGGAAATTGCACAGGATTCTGCGTCCTTACCTCACTACCCAGTCTGCTCAAAAGAAGCACAAGAACGGAGCAAAGAATGGCTTGATAACCACTGATATTCGCCTAAGTGTTGCTCTTCGGTACTTTGCTGGTGGTCGTGCAGAAGACATTTGTTTGGTTCATGGAATCTCGCACACAGAGGTGTTCAACAGTGTGTGGAAGGTGGTTGATGCTGTGAATGAGTGTCCTGAGTTGAGCTTCAGCTACCCAAGTGACCATGGAGAACAGTTGAAGATCGCCAAAGGGTTTGAAGAGAAGAGTCAAGCTGGATTCGACTGTTGTGCTGGTGCTGTGGACGGCATGGTGATCTGGACAGAGAAGCCCACAGAGAAGGAATGCGAGATTGCTGGAGTTGGTGAGAAGAAGTTCTTCTGTGGCCGCAAGCATAAGTTTGGGTTGAACTTACAAGGTGTTTGTGACAGCGTTGGCCGGTTCTTGGATGTTTCCATTTTCCATCCAGCATCCACATCAGACTTTCTTGCGTTCACCACTTCCAGCTTGCACAAGAAACTGGAAGCCGAAGAAGGTTTTCTTTTGGATGGGCTCTGCATCTTTGGCGATTCGGCGTATGTGAACAACGCCTACATGGCCACCCCATTTTCCAATGTACGTGCTGGAAGCAAGGATGCTTTCAACTTCTATCACTCCCAGTTGAGAATCAAGATTGAGTGCGCCTTTGGCATGTTGGTTGCTCGCTGGGGACTCCTTCGTCGTGCTATTCCTGCTGCAGTTGGTCTCAAGAAGACCATCGCTCTTGTTCTCTGCCTGTGCCGACTGCACAATTTCTGCATCACCCAGCGCATCAAGGAAAATGGCGGTAGGGAACCTCGAGACTTCAAGGTATCAGAATCTCTTGCTAGTGACACTGTAGAGATCTCTGCCAATGGAGGCGTTCCCCTGGAGAAGAACAGTGATGGAGCTTTGGTCCCAGGACAGCTGCTTGATGCTGGACACCACCACGAAGATACGTCCAAATTGGTTCGCCAAAACTTCGCTCGCCGTACTCTCTTGTCTGGGGGAACTCCCCGTGATAGGATGCTTCGTCGTGTTCGTAAGTATGGCTTGGAGCGCCCCCTTCCAAAGAACTGGGTGAAAGTCAAGAATGACTAGTAGCCGTAAAACGTAAATCTAGTAGCGGTGATTGCTCATTGTCTTTTATTGGATGTAGTAGCTTTCGATTGCTTTTCGCTGTTTTGTTGTGCTCCACGATCCTGCCACCACATCCGTCCGTTTACACTCTGATAAGACTAGACTAGCAAATCGCTCCTATTCTATGCTCTTTCTTTCACAAACTGTCACTATTTCTTATTATCCTTCTCTTAAAACGTATACTTGGCTAGTCCAACTCTCCTCTTTCCATCCTACTCGACTCTCCTCTTTCCATCCTACTCGCTTCCACTCCTCCAATCCACTCTTCAGAACTCACTCCTCGTCATCGCCATGGTTCTCTTCTTCTTCAACTGGAGGAGCCGCCGTCATGCAGGCAACACGCTCTTGCTTGAGGGCAGCCAACTCATCGTACAAGTCTCCAACACGGTCCTTGTGGTGATCAATGAGAGTTCCATAGTAATCACGCAATTCCTCAGTGCGTTCCCTGAGCTTGGCCAGGTTGAACTGGTGAACCTTGGTTTCTTCATGACGAATTCCTTCTTCCTTGTTGGCGATGGCCGTATCAACAGCGAGAAGACGATTGGAGACAGCAATGTCTTTGAGCGAGGAGGACACAGCAGTCCTGAAGTTGTTGCGGCGCTTGGTCTCTTCCTTGCCCTCATCAATTCGCTTGCGACGACGCTGCACTTGGGAGGTACCACCGGGAATGTTGTCACTGTCACCTCCCACGTCTTTCGCCAACACATTCAACACATGCATGAGAATTCCTTCCTTGTCAGCCAAGTGCCAAAGGTACAAATGGTAGAGGCGGTGACCAAGTGCGGGCCTGATGAAACTGGCACGATTATCACCAGCTTCCAAGTTCAAATGATCAGGCGAGAAGTGACCCCAGCTCTTATCTTTCTGGTCTCGCTGGCCAAAGCCGTTTCCGGATCGTTCCCAATCCATGATGATCTGCAACAACGAAGGGTGATGGTCAGAGAACAAGAAAGTGTCAAAGCAAGCAAGCGATTTGTCCAACATACAGCAATCAAACGGGCACGGCAATCGCCCCAGCGAGTCTTGACTTCTTCCGGGGTGACCGCTCCGCCAGGCATTTCTTCGAACTTAAGCTCAATGGGCTCTGCGAAGAACATGTGGAGCTCTGGAAGAGCTTCAGTGTAGAAGACCACAGTGTTGTCATTGTACACTTCGGCTGCCAGTTCATTCCACAGTTTGGGACGTTCCTGGTTGTTTCGAGCATCCAATTCATCACGAAGAAGAGTGGCATCCTTCATCATAAGTGCGCTCTTGACTTTATCATGAACCAAGCAGCAAGCCAGACGCAAGAATGGTGCTGGGACACTCCAGTTTGCGTTCTTCAACTTCTCTTTCTCCTGTGCATCACTCTCTTCCTTGGCGGCCTTAAGTTCCAGGTACATCTTGGTTTCCTCTTGACGGATCCAGCTTACGTTGTACTTGTCCTGGTCAGGATTCATCTTCAACCATCCCATGATCGAGGTCTTATTGGCCGACTTCATCCTGACTTTCTGCTTGGTCAGCATGCTGCGACGTTCAACTTCCTTCTTCAAGTGCTTGATCTGGGGGTGGTAAAGGCTCTTGAGACCAGGTGGCATGTCACGGTAGATGGGATCATTTTCCAAATCTGCCATCACACGTCCATCCAGCTGCTTCAACCCTTGGGATGCAGCGACCAACACGAACTTGGCGTTGTTCTCTTCAATGTACAACATCTCGATCCCTGTTTTGGGTGTATCCAAACCAAGCTCATCATCATCACTGTAAATGAGCTCTTCAAGTTGAGTAAGAGCCTCTCTCTGAGCTGGATTGAGGTCATCTTTCTTCCTTCCGGGAGCTTCCGCAGCCGCCTTTTCTTGGGCAAGATGCTCCTGGAACTGCCTCTGGGAGTTGGGACGCTGCGAGAAGCCAGGGAGAGTTGCAGCTGCTTGCTTGAAGCGTCCTGCCAGATTGGCATTGGGCTCCACAACTTCAACATCCTCATCGAACTCCTTCTCTTCTGCTTCCTTTCTGGCAGCAAGCATGTCAAGTCTTTCTGCATTCAGGCAGCGCTCTTCCTGCCTACGACGATCAGCCATAGTTTGTCCACAGACACCATACTTAGCCTTGTCAGCAAGCATACACTCACGGTAACTGGCAAAGCCACGCTCCTCCCAGTCCGCCATTGCTCAAGAATCTGCTCCCTCCAGACTACTTTTTGATAGTCCAATCCGAATGAAACCAAGAAGCAACCAAAGGTATCCTTTGGTCCAGAGCCAAGGGTATCTTGGTCAGAGCCAACACGTTGATGGCTACTTCAAGATGATCGAATGATGAAGTATCTTTCTTCTTCATCTACGTATTCTCTTTTCTCAGCTACTCTGTTCGCCTTGGCTATACCTTTTGTTTCGCATGACTCTTCTGTGACTCGATTTGGTTGCTGTCTGGCGAGCCAATCAAACTGAATTGGTGCTCAAATTGGCTTGGAGCCCCTTTGAAGCGTGATCCTCCATCCAGCTTCAAAAGTCTGGATTTCAGTCGGGGGAAATGAGGCTATCAGGCCATACATGAGTTGCAATGGTCCTGCCGGGGCTTCCAGAAGGGCCTAGAAAGTTGGAATGGCCATGAAAACAAAGTAGTTCGGACGGGCTCTTATTTGTATGGGGATGAGCAAATGTTGCTACAGGGCAATAGTGTACTCAATTGCGACTCGAAATAACAGTTAATAAAGCGAAATGCAAGCTTTCGACCAAAATTAAGATAAATTGGATTGGATTGCACTGAATTGCATTGAATTAGATTGCATTGGATTGAATTGGATCAACAATAGTACTGTTATTTGTATAGTAAAATGGAATTCAATTCAATTCAATCCAATTCAATGCAATCGAATCAAATCAAATCAAATCCAATAGAAAACAAACATCCAAAACATAATATTTCCTTTACAGACACAATTATACAAAAAAGAGCTATCAAATTCAATGCAGTGCTATTGGCATTTTTGCTCATCCCCTATAGTAAACTGTAATTCAATGCAATCCAATCTAATCCAATCTAATCCAATGCAATCCAATCAAATCCAATAGAGAAAAACAGCCAAAGTGAAAGATTGGCTTAGCGCACACAATTTTTACAAAAACGCTCTAACAAATTCAACACAGAGCCATGGCCAAGTTTGCTCATCCCCCTTGTAAAACAGGTAATACACAATGTCATCAAAAGCTTCCAAAGAAGCTTCCAAAGTATCTGTCACAATGTCAAATAAAAGCTCAATATATCACAAAATGGGGGTAGCAGTTCGATGAACTTCCCAAGACACTTACTTACTTGTTGGCTGTTGGCTACCGTATACTTAAATGCCGTGGAGCTCGAAAGTCACGTTGCATGTAAGTAGGGGTACATCTACTAAGTCTCAACTAGCAACCGTACCGGACCGTACCGCCGCACCGTGTCTTACAGTATGGTACCGGTTTTAGCTGCAGGTGGAGGTAGCAGGTTGGTTTTACCACAGAAATCTCCATCCCCGGGGCCCTGGACGACTTGCTGAGTTCATTGGGCATGGAAGGGAAGGACACAACAGCAAAACAGGCGACAACCGAATGCACCTCGCTCTTGCCTCGCACCGCAGGATTGGAAAATGAACTGGAACGTACCACTTCTCACCTTTTGCATCGTCGTGTCCTTGGTCCAGACGGTCTTTGCTCGAATCGCTTGCATTTCGAAAAAGCAGTGCGAAGATGCCCTGCTACCGAGAAGTGACTGCGGATCCGATGGCTATTGTACAAACCCTTTTACTGTTGGCGGATGCCTAGAGAACCTATTGCCAGAAGACCATCCGTCCGCCTGCAAGAAAGTACGCGTTTGCAACTCGGAAGACGATGAGATGACGGTGCGGTCGGGCCATTGTCGGCAACCAAATCCAGAGTTTGAACACATGGAGATACGAATACTTGCTCAAAACTGGGAAAGCTCCTACATCATGACCTGGTTGCTACAGATACTTCTCTCGGAGATGCTGGATGTTCCCACCACGGTGGAGACTGGAACTCCAAATGCCAAGCTGAACTTTTATGATGCTTCAAGCCCCTTAGACTATGGAATATCCAATGACTGGAATGCATTCACCACGGCCAACCGAGTGGTCGATTGCCGACT